CCCCCCTCTCCCCCACTCTCCCCCCTCCCCCACCCCTGGGCAATACCAGGGATTGAATCCAGGGCTGCTTAACTGCAGTCTTGCTGGGCACAAAATCACGAGCCACTCACAGCCTTGTAGATTCAAACAGCAAGTCTTTATTCCCGACCTCTCACCGGCACTCTACACGCAGGTTCTGGGGAAAAAAATCCACACCTCCACCAGGCTCTGCATCCCAAAATACTCTCTGAATCCCGCTGAGAACTCAATGGGAACTCAAGGAGTGGGCAGCAGGATACGCCCTATTCCCAGCAGGATACACCCTAAACCTGGACCCACCTTAATCCAGCAGGATCCTCCCTAAACCCGGATCCACCCTGGTCCTTGAGCAGGGTCACCTTTCTCAAACATTCATGCAATGTCACTGCAAATGACCTGGGTCCAAGGCAAGCCCATTTCCACAATGGAGAGTCCTTCCTCTAAGCAACATGGGGTAGGCTGACAAGGAAATTTCCATGTGTCATTCCTACTTAGCTATGGCTCTCAGCACTTAACCAATGAGCCACATCCAAAGCCCCTTTTAAAAAATCATTATGGATGCAATTAATGTACCTTGCTAAGTGGCTAAGGCTGGCCTTGAGTTTGGGATTTTCCTGCTTCAGCTTCCCAAGCTGCTGGGTTTATAGGAATGGGCCATGGCACCTGGTTTCTTTGCAAGAATTTACATCAGGTGTGGTGGCACACACCTTTAATTCTGGTGACTCAGGAGGCTGAGGCAGGAGGATTAAAAGTTTGAAAGTAGCCTCAGCAACTTAGGAGGCCCTAAGCAATTTAGCAAGACCCTGTCTCAAAATAAAAAATAAAAAGGGCTGGGGATATGGCTCAGTGGTTAAGTGTCCCTGTGTTTCTGTCATAAGTTCAAAAGGAACTTATGACAGAAACACTCAGTTCTCATCACTGTATTTTAAACAACTCCTATTCACATTTTCTTGCTGTGATTAACATATTTTTATGGTTGGTGGCAACTCAATAAGCCTGAGAGTCCACTTTTTAGATAAACAGTTTGAATAATTTGGTGTACATGACTCTGATGCAATTTCATTTCTAATTAGAAAACTCTAAAAAGTAGGTTTCTCCTTTCTCTGTTATAATATTACATTTTATATTATGTTTACAATATGTTATATATTTATATTATATTTACAATATAAAAAGGTGTGATTAAATCTTAATTTGCCTTTTAGTTAAGTTAGTAAACAGCCAAGGCACAAGTTTTAATCAAAATTTCTTGATTAAAGGGGTATTGAGGATATAGTTCAGTGGTAGAGCACTTGCCTAGAATGTGTGAGACCTTAGGTCTCATCCCCAGCACCATAGAAGTTTTTTTTTTTTTTTTTCTTAATTAAAAAATCTCTGTTTTTTGTGCTAGGCACTTTTGATGAGGGAACTTATGGCACCCTGAGGTCTAAATAGCTAATGCCCTGATGAAGGAGAGAAGAGAACATATAAAAAATAGTTTCCTAATTATTTGCATTTCTAATTAGAAAACTATAAATAGTACGTTTCTCCTTGTCTCATGCTTTGTGAGTGGCTTTTCACCTTATTAATGGATCTGTTCTCATATTATGCAAATAATTGATGTGGAGATGTTTCAAGTCTAGAATTAGCCTTTTATGTTAAGAATCATTACTTTCTAGGTTCTGGTCGTTATTAAGATATCTAGAATCAGGCATGGTGGTTCATGCCTGTAATCCCAGCAATTTGGGAGGCAGAAGCAGAAGAATTGAAAGTTTGGGGGCCAGCCTCAGCAACTTAGTAAGCCCCTAAGCAACTTAATAAGACCCTGTCTCAAAATAAATAAAAAAAATTTAAAAAAATATATCTATAAAGTCCCATTTCTTAAGGTGACTTTTATATGACCTTGTCCTTGAGCTTAAAGTATCAGTGAGAAAATATATGTGGTTTGATAGTTGGCCAAAAAATTCTGTCATTCTGTCCTTCTCTCCATGTAGAATTTGGCATTGAAAACTTTACAAAAACCCAAGGGTAGAATGCTATTGTTTAAAGTGACAGCCCTGTATGATTCAGTGTTATGTGTCTGTACATCTCCTCAGCTGTCATGAAGACGGGAGGTACTGGTAAGGACAGTTTTATCTCTAATAATGTTCAAGACTCCAAAAATTAATGAAGCCATGGGAATTTGTTCATTCATTTATTCAAATAATCTATTTGTACCAGGCACTGTGCTAGGTGTTGGGGAAAAATTAGTAAATAAGACAGATGAGCAGTCTACTCCATAGAAATCATTGTCTTTTGAGGGAGAAACTTAAATAAAAAAATGTATACATTTATACTTCACTGTAATGAGTCCCCTCAAGGAAGTATCACTATAGGATAATCTGAGAGCATATAATAAGGAACCTATTTTAGATTGGCTTAGATAAACCAAAAGTATGAAACTAAATGGCCATTGTAATGCTCAGAATGAAACTTCATTTCTGAAAAAAAAAATTATATACCATACCTTTAACTATATTCTTAGGCATATATGTGAGCTTTGGGTTTCAAAGTGTTGTATATACTAAATATCAGTTTACAGGATGACCTGGACCCATATAAGTCCTTACTATTAGGATTTTTCAACTTTCCTTTCTAATATTTTTTTTCTTGCTTACTTATAGTATACACTTTGGAATTTCCTCCCAAAGAACCTGTTTGAACAGTTTAGAAGGATTGCAAATTTTTATTTTCTCATCATTTTCCTTGTACAGGTAAGAACTCCATAAACAACTGTTCAACTTTGAGAATTTGAGAGTCTTGATTGATTCAAACAATTTCTAACCTTATGCCCTGTGATTAAAAACAAAGATGTTCCAAAACTGATTATAATAGCAGTTTTAAAGTAGAAATAATTACCTAAAGATTTATATGATTTTATAAGTTGCATCTTTATTAGGAAATTCATGGAGATTTTATTTCATTGTTCTTTCTTTTAAATTTTCATTAATTTCATATATTTGTTCATCCAAGAAGGATATATCTCATATCATTAAACAAGTTGATATACATGAAAATCAAAATTCATTTACATTAATAGTTTTATTTTGTTAAACATCAGTGCCAGCCTAATTGAAAACTTAATCACTTATCATCATAATTACCAGTTTTGCTCTGCCTCATTCACTTACTCCCTTGAAGCATGAGAGCCTAGTAGATTGATCTGTTTCTGTGTTCTTACTATGCTTTTGCATTTTAAATTTTAGAATTTTAAATTGTGTCTTCTGTCTTTAAGTCTATAAACTCTTAAACTCTTTCGGTCACCGTATTTACCTCTGAAAATTTTTACTGCATTAAAGGTGCTGTGTTTTTCTTGTCTCATTTTTAAATAAAGCCAAAAAATTTCAATGAAATTGCTCAAATACTTGTTGATGTTAAGTGGTTCTGTTCATCCACTTTTAGGCTTTTAGTCTATGATACTATAATTGAGTTTAGCCCTGCTACTTAAAACCAGTCTGGGACATAATATATGAAAGAGCCAATTTGAATACAAACGATGGAATATTTGAAAAGTAGGTACTTAAGAACCACAGTCAGATGTCTTAAGGACCTAAAATAAATAACATAGTGGATTCTGCTTATGAGAGTCATTCTACTTGGTGGGTAGTACCTCTCAATTTCATTTAGTAAATGTGTACCAAGCACCTATTGTGTGCTATGTAGCAGTCCAGACAACAAAAGTGATTGCAGCTATGATGAAGATCAAGCTATGACTTTTCTACTCTTAAGGAATTTTATTGCTGAGAAGACAGTCATGAATTTGCTTAATGTAGTAAGGATCATTTATGTGAATGATCAAAATGGTATGAGTATACAGTAGGAGTTATGATTTTTTCCCTACCCAAGAGGAGCTTGAGAAGGCTTCAAAAGGAAGGTTAGTATCCAAACTGAGCCTTGAAGATTTAGTAGAGAAGAGGTTACATAAAGACATGGAACCATGTAAAAACCTCTTATGTACACTTCTTTGTGGCAGAGGCAGGCCTGGCTGGAGGTTGGAGATAAGAGTCAGTGAGTTGTGAGAGCAGACTGAAGTCATGATCTCTCTCCCTCCAATCTAGTTCTCTTTCAATATATCCTATTTCAGTGAATGACAATATCCACACAGGCATGTTAACCAGATTCTTGGCAGACATCTTTAATCAATACTTACATCTAGTTCCTTACCAGTTTTGCTATTTTCATAAATTCTCTGTTACTTCTTTTCATGCCTGTTGTTTCCACTGAAATCCAAGCCATCATCTTTCATTTGATAATAGCAGTGGCCTCCCAAATGGACTGTCTTTCTACTCTTGTTTCTTTCTAATCTATCATACACAAAGCATGGAGAAAGATCTTTTCAAGATGCAGTTCTATTCATGTGATATCTCCCTACCCCAAACCTTCAAGGATTTCATACTGTTCACAGAATGAAGAATAAACAGCTTACCCTGGCCCAGCGGACCCTGCAAAGTCTGGCCCCTTCTTCCTCTTCCAGCTTCATCTCATGCCACACTTTCTCTTGCTAATGGCTTCCTTTATTTTTTTTCCTACATATGCCCTTCTCCCTCCTACCATAGATACTTTGTATATACTGTTTGCTGTACCTGAAAAACCAACTTTGATCTAGTTAACTTTGATTTCCCCTTCAGATTTCACCATCTGCACTCTTACTTTAATGTCTGATTTTCCCTGTGAGCTTTCTGCTATATGAAGGCAAGGGACTTGCCTCTATCTCATTTAAAGTAGGATCTCTGGAGACTAGCTGAAGCACAGGGACCGACACAGTGCTACTCAACAGATAGGTGGTAAATAAATGGATGTATTTCAATAAAGGACCAAGTTTCTTAAAACTAACTGCTATGTGGATTGTTTTAATGAAAATTAACATTGACTCTGCTACTGGACTGTGTTTTGTCTGCATTTCTGTCTGAAATGTTTACAACATGTAAGTGCTGCATGTGAATTAATAGCTAATTTTCATTTTACTTTCAATTTAATTTCTTCACCTAGGTCACAGTAGACACACCAACTAGCCCAGTTACCAGTGGACTTCCACTTTTCTTTGTTATAACTGTTACAGCCATCAAGCAGGTAACTTTCTTATTTACATTTATGTCTGCATTTCAGTCTATGTTGATTTGAATTTCATTGTCAAAGGCTCGTTTTCATATTTATATATTGTGGGCAGTATCCTTGATAGATTTAGTTTATATTTAGTTCCCATTGAAAACCTAGTTAAATGATAGTAAGGCACATCCTTAATTTATTTGCTCTTTTCTTCCTCTATATCTGTGTGGGGGTATGTGAAAATAAAAGAGTGGGTAGAAGATATAGCTCAGTTGGGAAATGGGAAGCAGGCTTTTATCATGGATTAATTGTTCTAGTGTAGTAAGTCTGAATGAAAATTTCCCACGCCAGTAGATTTTTTTTTTTTTTTTGTCATTGTAGCCTATAGCACAGGACTTGAGGTACAAATATTTGAATTTTATAATTTCCTGATGGTGCTAATAGGCATGGGTGGGTAAAGAGAGCTTTTATTCCTACTTCTAGTCAGAGGTGATGAGATGCCACAGATGGTTATGTGGACTTCTTTGAAGTATTTTGAGCATTTTGTTTGCTAGTACCAAACTTGCCCGTGAAATTGAAAATGGAACAAGAAATTGGAGGTGAAGGGGTGGGTTAAAAGTATTTATCATGTACTGGGACAGTCCACAGGATCTGATTATTTAAAACATACATTTAGATAGTACTTATCAAAGTGCTTTTAAAAAGTACCCCATGGAGACTTGCAGAATGAAGGTCAACTTAACAGTTTTAGGAATAAGATTACCTTTCTTCTTGGGGTTATCTGGTCTTGAATCTTGCCTACCAACAACTGTAAAAATATTTTATCAAGTGTTTGGTTGCTAAATAAAGACTTGGAATGTTCTTTTCCTCAGACTGTTAGGATTATTTTCTTTAATGTCATAAAATTACTGGTTCTAAGAATAGTATGTATGATTTGCAAAGGCTTTTACAGATTTCATTCTACTCCCAGTACTACTTCATTGTAGGGCCTTTCTTTCTTCACCACCATTACAGAATATACCCTATGAAGTGATAGACTAGCTTTGTCATAAAAAGAGACAAGGAAAAGAAGGTGATCAAGAGATTTTCAGTTGTCTTTAAAAAAAAAAAGTACAGACATTATTACAACAACAAAAAGCAAAAAAATTATTTTTAAGCTTCTGGAGGCTGGAAAGTTCAAGATCAAAGTGCTGGTATGGTGAAGGCCTTCATGTTGCAGCCTCACAAGGCAGAAGGGGCGAAACAGTCAAAATAGAGGAATGTTGTGTACTCAAATGGGAAGAGCAAAAGAGAGTGAATCCACTCCTTCAAGCCTTTTGTAAGGATCATCAGGGATCTACTGGCATGACTTAATGATATAAAGGACCCATCTCTTAAAAAAAAAAAAAAAAATATATATATATATATTAGTTGTAGATGGATGCGATACCTTTATTTTATTTGTTTATTTTTATGTGGTGCTAAGGATCAAACCCAGGGCCTCACAAATGCCAGGGAAGTGCTCTACCACTGAGCCACAACCCCAGCCACAGGATCATCTCTTAATGCTACCACATTAATGATTGAATTTCAGCACTCTCTGATTACTTTTAACCCTAAAAAACTGAGCACCACGTTTCATGTTCTCACTAAGCGGAGAAGTTTAGCTGTTAATTTCTACAATTTATAGTGGATTCTCTGCCAAACCAATCCTAACTTGCTTTTATTATTCTTGGCTTGTGGAAAAGAATTATAATATTTCCTTGGAGGTAATCAGCCCAACAGTCTACTTCAAAATATTGAAAGATTAGGTATACAAGAAAATAAAAACTCAAATGGCTCTTTCTCATATTAAAAATGTGGAGATACTTAACATTAATTTGAATAAGAGTAGAAATAAAAGAATAAATTTTAATCCTCCAGATAACGAATATCAAAGCTCTAATGCCTGCATTTCTTTTAATATTTATCTGAATAATGGAGGAAACTTTTAATACCATAAAGCTATTTACCTATGGGATAGTTTGAATGTGTATCTTATGGGGTTGGGGTTGTGGCTCAGTGATAGAGCACTTGCCTAGCACATGTAAGGCACTGGGTTCAATCCTCAACACCACATAAAAATAAATAAAATAAAGGTATTGTCTATCTACAACTAAAAAATATTAGAAAGAAAGAAAGTGTGGGCTGGGGATATATCTCCAGTTTGTAGAGTATTTGCCTTGCATTCACAAAGGGGGAAAAAAAGTGTCTTAGATTTGCCATTAAAATATGCATCATTGTCTCTTTAGCATTCTGAGTTGAAATTAATACTCTAATTTTAAATATCTGCTGTTGATTCATGGGAGGATTATACGGATTTATTAACAGTTTATTTTATTGTTTGAACTTGATTATATAGTTATTTTTATCCTTCTAGGGATATGAGGATTGGCTGAGACACAGAGCTGACAATGAAGTCAACAAGAGCACTGTTTACATTATTGAAAATGCAAAGCGAGTGCAAAAAGAAAGTGAAAAAATTAAGGTATTTTTTAGTATCCTTTTTTTACTGTGGCAAAATGTACATTTTAAAGTGTATGATTCAATGTCCTTTAGAACATTCACAATGGTGTGCAACTATCAACACTATCTAGTTCCAAAATATTTTTTTCAACCAAAAATGAAACCCCATACCTATTAAATAGTCATTCCACATTTCTCCCTCCACCCAAGCCCTGGGAAAACAACTTTTTGTCTCTATGGACTTACATATTTAATAATTTTTATAAATGGAAACATATACTATGTAGCCTTTTATATCTGGCTTCTTTCACTTGATAATATTTTTTAGATGCATCTGTGTTGTAGCATGTATTAACAATTCATTTCTTTGATGGCCAAATAGTATTCCACTATGGATATACCACAGTTTACTTATGATAGCTAATGAATATTTGGGTTGTTTCTACCCTGGGGCTATTCAGAATATTGCTGCTAAGAACATTCTAGGACAAGTTTTTGTTTAACATGTATTTGCTATTCTTTGGGATATATACCTAAGAAGACAATTGCTAGGTCTTAAGGTAATTTTATGACTAACTTTTTAATGAACCACCAAACCGTTTTCCATAGTGGCTGTATCATTTACATTCCCACAGCAATGTATGGGAGTTCCACAGTACTATTATATTTTTAAGATGCCAGGCAGTTCATTTTTTAAATTAAAACCAGTCATTATTATTACTACCCAGTAGGACCCCTGTCAGCATTTTAGACTTGTCCGTATCAGATCTTTTTGGTTCTCAGTAGAGTTTTTAAATTAATCAACTATTTTTAGAGGAATTTCAGGTTCATAGCAGAATTTAACAGAAAGCAAAGAAAGTAACCTATATGCCCACTGTGCAGCCACACTCATATCCTCTTCTTCCATCAGCATCCCACACCAGAATGATGTTTTTTACAATCAATAAACCTACTTTGGCACACTATTTTCACCCAAAGCCCATAGTTTACATTAGTGATCACGCTCTGTGTTATATTCTATGGGTTTTGACAAATATATGTCATGTATCTGACATTGAGATATCATATAGGATAGTTTCAGTGCCCTCAAAATCTTTTTTTTTTTTTTTTTTTTTTTTTTTGTGCCTATTTATCTCACTCCCGGCCTTCACCTCTGGTAAATACTGATACTTTGTCTCCAGAATATCATATTGTTAGAATCATAAATATGTAATCCTTTCAAATTGACTTCATTAACTTAGTAATGTATATTCATGTTTCCTCCATTTTTTATAGTTTGATAGCTCATTTTTTTCTAGTGATGAATAATATTCCTTTTTTTTAAAGAGAGAGAATTTTTTAATATTTATTTTTTAGTTTTCGGTGGACACAACATCTTATTTTATTTTTATGTCGTGCTGAGGATCGATCCCAGCACTCTGCACATGCCAGGCAAGTGCGCTACTGCTTGAGCCACATCCCCAGCCCAATATTCCATTTTTTTAGTGTGCCACAGTTTATTTGTATATCCACTTCTTGGAGTGCATTTTACTTTAAAGTTCTGGCAATTATGAATACAGTTACTGTCAACATCTGTTTTCAGGTTTTTATGGGGTGTAAGTTTAATTTCATTTTAGTAAATACAAGGGATCAAGGTTGAGGGACTGATTGTATGGTAAGAGTATGTTTCATTTCATAATAAACGGCCAAACTGTCTTTCAGGATTGCTGTATCATTTTTGCATTTCTACCAGTACTGAATGAGCCCTTACCAGTATTTGATGTTGTCAGCATCTTAGATTTTGGTTATTCTAATAAGTGTATAGCTGTATTTCATTAATTTTTACTTCAATTAGCATTTCCTTGATAACATATGATGTGGACCATTTTTCCATATGTTTCTTTGATTCATGCATTACAATTGGTTATAATTTTCAAATATTTGGGAATTTTCTAGATACGTTTTGATTATGGATTTCTAGTTCAATTCTGTTGTATTCAGAGAACATACTTGGTATCATTTCAGTCTTTTTAAATATGTTCAGATATGTTTTATGGCCCAGAATATAGTATATTTTGGTGAATGTTCCACGTGCACCTGAGAATTTTAAAAAAGAATGTGCATTCTGCTGCTGTTGAGGAGTTTTGTGTAAATGTCAATTAGGTCAAGTTCATTGATAATGTTTTCAAGTTTTCTCTACATTTAATATTTTCTTACTTGCTCTATCAATTATTGAGAAAGGAGACAAAAAAAATTCCCAACTATGACTATGAATTTGCCTATTTTTATTTTCTGTTCCATCAATTTTTTATGTACTTTATAGTATGAAGTGCAAAATTATTTAGGATTATTATGTCTTCTTGGTGAATTGGCCCCTTTATCCTTGTGTAATCCTTGTCCCTGGTAGTAATCTTAGTTTTGAACGTAAATTTTTCTGATAGTACAATCAATCCCATATAGTAAATCCTGCTTTCTTTTAACTGTTGTTTGCATGGTATGCTCCATCCTTTTAATCTCTCTATATCTTTGCATTTCTAGTTTGGTCCTGGTTATTGGTTTTATTTTTGTTTTTTTTTAAACCCAGTCTAAAAATCTTTGCTTTTAATTTGGTAGCTCAGCCATTGACTTTTAATGTAATAGTTGATATGGTTTGGCTATCTGTCTCATCTCTTAGATTATTTGAACTTTTTTTTTATTCCATTGGATCATTTCCCTTGGCTAACTAATTATATCTGTTGTAATTTTTAAAATTTCTCCAGAATTTATAATATACTTTTATTTTTTTATTTGTTCTTTTTAGTTTTATATGACAGTAGAATGTGTGTGTGTGTATGTGTGTGTGTGTGTGTGTGTATACGTATGGAGTATAACTTCTATTTTTGTGGTTGTATTTTTTTGTAATATGGAGTTACACTGGTTGTGTATTCATATGTGAATATAGAAATTTATGTCTTTCCAATTCATTCTACTGTCTTTCCCATTTCCATCACCTCACCTTTCCCCCAACTCCACCCTGTCCAATCCCATGAACCTCCCCTTCACCTCTACCCCTGCCTATTGTGAGTCAGCATTCACGTATCAGAGAAAACATTCACCCTTTGGTTTTGGGGGATCGCCTTATTTCACTTAGCATAATAGTCTCTAGTTCCATCCATTTACCGGCAAATGCCATAAATTCATTCTTCTTTATGGCTGAATAATATTTTATTGTGCATTATATACCACATTGTTATCCATTTATCTATTAAAGGGGAACTAGGTTGGTTCCATAGTTTAGCAATTGTGAATTGAGCCACTACGAACTTTGATGTGGCTTCATCACTGTAGTATACTGATTTTTAGGTCCTTTGGGTGTATACCGAAGAGGGGATAACTGGGTCAAATGGTAGTTACATTCCAGATTTTCTGAGGAATCTTCATACCATATTGAAAAAGGAAATATCACCATGGACACTACCAAAATACAGATGATAGAGTATTTTGAAAATCTGCACTCCAATAAAATAGAAAATGTTAAAGATATCAACAGATTTCTAGAGACATATGACCTACCGAAACTGCACCAGGAGGTTACAGGAAAATTTATACAGATTTAATGTAGTTCCTATTAAAATCCAAATGATATTCTTCATTGAAATAGAAAGAGCAGTCATGAAATTCATTTGGAAAAATAAGAAGCCCAGAATAGCCAAAGCAATACTTAGCGAGAAAAGTAAAACAGGAGGCATTACAATACCAGAGTTTAAATTATCCTACAGAGCTATAATAACAAAAAACAGCATGGGTTTTGTACCAAAACAGACATGAAGTAAAATTAAGAATCAATAAATGGGGGCTGGGGCTCAGCAGTAGCATACTTGCCTGGCACGAGTGAGGCACTGGGTTCGATTCTCAGCATTGTATGTAAATACATAAAATAAAGGTCTATCAGCAACTAAGAAAATATTTTTTTAAAAAAAGAATAAATGGGATGGTGTCAAACTAAAAGCCTTCCTCACAGCAAAGGAAGCAATCAGGAATGTGAAGAGAGAGAGCCTGCAGATGGGAGAAAATCTTTGCCACCAGATAGGCTGATAATATCCAGGATATACAAAGAATTCAAAAAACTTTAACACCAAAAAACCCCCCAAATAACCCAGTTAACAAATGAGCAAATTAACTAAACAAACACTTCTCAAAAGAAGAAATATGAATGGTCAACAAATATGTGAAAAAAAAAAGTTCAACATCTCTAGCAGAGAAGTGCAAATTAAAACTACACTGAGATTTCATCTCATTCCAATCAGAAGTCTCATTCTAGTCAGAATGGCAGTTTTTAAGAATACAAGTAACAATAAATGTTGGCGAGGATGTGGGGAAAAGGGTACCCTCACACATTATTGGTGGGACTGCAAATTGGTGCAACCTCTCTGGAAAGCAGTATGGAGATTCCTCAAAAATATTAGGAATGGAACCACCATTCAACCCACTATTCCACTTCTCAGTATATATCCAAATGATTTTTAAATCAGCATACTATGGTGACACAGCCATATCAATGTTTATAGCAGCACAATCCACAGTAACTAAGCTAAGGAGCCAAAGTAGGTTCCTTTCTACAATTGAATGCATAAAGAAAATGTGGTATATATACACAGTGGAGTATTACTCGGCCATAAAGAAGAATGATTACGATATTTTCCAAAAAATGCATGGATGTAGATACTATCTTGCTAAGTGAAATAAGCCAGTCCTAACAAACCAAAGGTCATATGTTTTCACTGATATGGGGGGATGGAGAATAGAAGTTCAGTGAAGTAGGCAATGGAGATTGAAGGGAAGAAAGGGGGTATGGGTAAAGGAAGAATAATAGAATGTATCTTTCCTATGTACATACATGAATGTACCACAGTCAGTCTCACCACTGAGTACACCCACTATCATCATGTCAATATGAATTATGCTATCATGTATAACTAAAAAGAACCAATAATATTCAAAATAAAAAACATAAATAGCACCAAATTTCATAGAAAAGCTTCTTTTCTCAGGTCAGGTATATAATTCAACTAAATAATATATAAATTCTAAATTTGAAAAAAAAAAAGTTGTTTCTCCATTGTCATCTTGTTTGCATATTTCCTGGTATGTTTGTTGTCATTTTTATTTTTGTTTCTCCAAATATGGTATTTCTTGGATCACTTTTAAGTCTTTCCTTTTCAGTTTTCAGCAGTTTGACTGCGTTATGCCTTGGGCTTTTCTTTCTAGTTATCTTCCTTGAAATTCTCTTGGAACTATTATTTGTTGGTTTTGATTAAGTTTAGATAATTCATGACCATTATCTCTTCAGATATTTTTTGTGGTTCATTTTCTCTCTCCTATTTTTGACTCCATTTACATGACTAAGACTGATATTTTGTCATACCTCTTAAAGATCTGTCCTTTTTTTTAACTACTCCTTTTCTCATTGAATATAATTTTGATCGATGTGTCTTCTTGTTTACTGATTATTTCCTTTGCTGTATCTTGTCTGCTGGTTGAAGGGAATCATCTCTGATACCATGCTTTTTCATTTCTAACTTTCCATTTTCCTTTCTTTTTTTGTTATTAAAATTCATCTCTGCCAAAATTCTCATCCACTCTTACATGTTGCCTACCTTTTCCACTAAGTATTTCAATATCTTAATCATGGCTATTTTTATAACCCTTCTTGATGATTTAAAAATTTACACATTTCAGGAACTGGTCTTGTTGATTCCTTCCCCTCAACAATAACTTGCTTTTTTCTTGTGATTTTTGTGCATTTTTTTTTCAGTGAGTTTTGACATTGTACGTAAAAGAATGGCAGAGACTGTGAGGTCAGTACTATGTATGTTCTGAAATGGGCCTGCTTCTTCCATCAGGCCATTTAGTATTTATTGAGGGTTGAGTTAATGTAGTCAGGAGATGGGCTGACTTTGGTTTTTGTTGTAATTATTGCATTATTGATATTTTCAGTGTATCACTGTACTTCAGATTCTTTGTGCTATTACCTTAAACTTTGTGTGAGACCTGGTGTGCTTTAGTGGTTTTGCCAGGTTTGTTGTCCCACCACCCTTTTTTAACACATCCTAGAATCCTGAGCTACAAAGAGTGTCTGTCTCACCCTCTTCTGTTGCTTCTCACCCTATAGTAGATTGCTATTTATTGTTTGTTATTCAGTGTTGGCTCCTGGTGGGAACAGAATGGTTTAATCATTCTCCCATTCCAATCTCCATATTAGGATATATGAACCTGAATTGTATTAGGATATATGAACCTGAGCCTCAATGTGGGATTTTCTCTATTGCTGCCCCCACCTCCTCCTATGGCAGTCAAATGTTTGATAAGAATGTCTTTACTATTCTGTCTCTGCAAGCAAGTTCCCTTTTGTTTCTGTCTCCTCTGTAGCAGCAGTGTCATTTTCCGCCAAAGAAGGTTTCCTGCCTTTCTCCCAGTGCAGGTGGCTTTTCTTCTTTTGCTTCATATGAGAGAGGAGTCCACCATTCTGGCATGTTTTGGCCTGTCTTTCCACAGTAGTTGATCATTATCTGTATGCCTGTACCAGTGAGAAGGGTAATTTTAAATGTTCCGACCTTATGCTTTCTCGTGAGCACCAATGGAAACCTGTAGAGAGAGCTAGCATGTGTTAATGGTTTTCTTTTGTCTCTCAGTCTTGTAGATATTCAAAATTTTCATGGTGATTCACTCCTAGCCTTTAAGAATTGGTTGAAAACACAGTTGTTTTCTTCTCATCCTCTTTTATGGTAGCCATCTTTTACCTTGTGCTCTGTCAGTTGTGAAATATTTGATTTGTCCTGTTTCTCCTCAAAGGGACCCTTTGAAATTCAGTTCACTTGGTTGCCTTGCATTCTCAGCCCTCTGATGCTCTAAAAATATTATTCTGTAGATCTATTTTTTCCTAATATTTGTGATGGGAGTGGTAGTGACATTCTCTTGCGGCTTTTAAAATAGTGAATGGAAACAAGTAACTTGAGTTGATTGTCTAACTGGGTCATAACATTCCCTTTCTTTACCATTGTCTTTTACCTTTGTCTTTAGGGTGAGGCCAAAATCCCTTAGCCTAGCTGGTCAAGCCCTTTGCCATCTGGCCCCTGCCTACCTCACCAGCCTCAACTTGTATTGTAGATACACGAATTTTGTATCTGAGCAAATTCTAAGTGTTGAAGAAAAAAATGTTTTCTTTGTGGTTTTTATTTATCAGTGCCTATCAGTCATCATGTTAAGATTTTGTTGATTCTTTTTTTCTTTTGCATACTTTAAGCATAGTTTATAGTTTTATTGTAAGAAACATAAGTGTTTATGTAAGTGAGGAAGGAAAGATCAACAATATAAAATATTATTTACAAATTAGATATTGACACTGTTGTTCTTGGCTACTAATTAAGATTGGCAAAGAGAATAAAATTGTTCTTGACTATGTCTCAAAATATTGCACATAGAAGACAGGTGTTTCATGTAGTTCAGCACTTCACTGCCAGTGTGTCTTGGTTGGTGTGCCAGATACTGACTTCTGTTTTATTCAACTTTTTCACTGCTGTAACTAAAAGACCTGACAGGAACAATTGTGGAGGAGGAAAAGTTTGAGACCTCATGGTTTCAGAGATCTCAGTCTATGAAGAGCAGGCTCCATTCCTCGGGGCTTGAGGTGAGGCCGAGCATCATGGCAGTAGAGAGAAGTGACTCACATGATAATCAGAGAGCAGAGAGACTATGCTGGCAAGATACAAAATATATACCCCCAAAGCACACCTCCTCCAGCCACACCATAACTGCCTTCAGTTTCCACTCCATTAATCCCACCTTGGGATCAATTCACTGATTGGATTAAGGTTCTCCTAACCTAGTCATTTCTCATCTAAAACTTCTTGCATTATCTCAGACATGAGCTATTGGGATTGGGGTACACCTCACATCCAAACAATAACAATTTCTTCCTAAAGTGAGTTGTCTTCTGCCACCAGGAGCCGCCTCCCTTTATCTGACTATGCTGTACAAAATCATTATTTATCATTTTCTGTGTATGCCATCCATTAAAAATATTGAGAAGTATTACTTGGAGAATTTCTTTTTTAAAAATATTTTTAAGTTGTACATGGACACAATACCTTTATTTTATTTATTTATTTATTTATTTTTATGTGGTACTCACGATCGAATATAGTGTCTCACACATGCTAGGCAAACACTCCACCACTGAGCTACAACCCCAGCTGTGCTTGGAGAATTTCTTACATCTTTCCAAAATAAATGTTATAAGTTATTCATAAGTTGAGTAAAGTACTTGCTTGCATGATATTGTAACAGTTATAATTAACACCCATTAAATGATTAACATGTGCCAAGCACCTTAATATTTACTTGTATTATTATTTATCAGTGCTCACAGTAATCCTGTGATGTAATCAACTTACCTAAGACATTTACCCAAAGTCATATAGTTAAGTGTCGGATCTGGGACGTGAATTGAGATTAAAAAGTACAAGCTTTTAACTATTATGATTCACTCTTTACATTATAAAATCATTCCTGATTTCTTCTCTCGGGTTTTTTCTCGAGTTTGAGTTTTGAATATTTGCTGATAGGAAATTGTTTTTCATTGCTCTATTGATTAATTCTTCTGATAGCAGATGGATTTTTAGGTTGACCTATAGAAAAAAATTTAAATATTATGGGGAAATGATTGATGCCTCTATAATTAACTGAGGTTTTGTTCATGAATTGCCTAATTTGTGATATGTACATTTTCTTGATCCATTCATGAGATGATAAGGTCATTTACTTATTAAACATTAGTTCCAGAAATATCAGAACAATTGGGTGTCAGAATTGTTTATTAGAGGTAAAGGTCAATACTACGGTAATCTGAAAGCATCCTAAATCCTTGTGACCTTAAAGAGAATACTGGATGTTAAGTAATATTCTTTTTATCACCTTTTACATTGTGCAGGATCCTGAGATACCCCCAAAGCATAAGGGCTGGAGTTGTGTCCTACTAATGTTTTAACTTTAGTGTGTGTTTTAATGATGTTTAGTTTGGAATTCAAAACATTTATATTTATATTTATTTTACTCTCCATTTTAGGTTGGTGATGTAGTAGAAGTTAGTGCAGATGAAACCTTTCCCTGCGATCTTATTCTTCTATCATCCTGTACCACTGATGGAACCTGTTATGTCACTACAGCTAGTCTTGATGGGGAATCTAATTGTAAGGTAAGAGACTGAACCTTGCCTAAGCATTTTGAGCTCAGGATAGTTAATCATACAATAGTGCTTCCAAAAAAACGCTTCCTAAACTCTTTATTTTCCCTATTCATGTAGGTTTTATATTTGAAGAGAGCTGTTATATAATTGTCTTTGTCTCCTAAGTATATTCTCATCTTTGGGGATAGGGATGGTGTTGGGCAGGGAAAAACCATGCCCCAAATAAAAGCCACCACAATTTTTATATCACTGCTTGAATTTAATGTTAACATAATCCACGCAATATTTTATTTAGACTTTTTTAAATGCAAGTAATTTTAGGCTGAAACTGTATAAAAATAACTTTATGAGCTCTAATCTTACAACTTGATTTATTTTTAACGTAATGACAAAGTATATTTTCTTTAAAATATGTTTATTCCTGGGATTTAGGAGTTCTAACCTGGAATAATTTGATTGCCTTTTAAAAAATACGTTAGGATATACTTTGGCAAACATATTACAACTAGGAGGAATTTTAAGTGTGGTGAAATGTCTCATCTAAATGAGTAATAAGTTACTTCCCTGGTACTTTCTGGTGCAGTTAGTTTTTGGCCATCATCTAGAATGATGAGCAGTAACAGGGAGTTAAACTCCTCTCAGTGCTGCTTTTAACGAATGATATTAAAGTGCTGACCTCTGAGTATATCCTTGGAGAATTTCTTTTCTCATTTATTCCCTCTGGAGTTGAAGACTAGTACTTAGTATGTGAAAAAGGAAATTTACCATTTAAATGGCTGATTCTGTATTTCAAGGACATTATGAGATGAACTAGTAGCATTTAAGCTGTTTAAAAAGAGCTATATTTTAGGGAATGTCAAGATAAAATCAATAAATCTACCTAAAGATTCCCTAATAGTGAAAAAGTTACTTAGAAGAAGAAAACTTTTAGGTAGTTTTTTTTTTCTATTACATTGATTTGATCACATCAGCTAAAAGTACAGAAGTTTTCAAAAATCAGGCAATAGTTTTAAATATTGTTCAGGAAGTGCCATAATATTACCTAAAGACTATATGTCAACAGCATTTCCTTCTGCATTAAGCAGTGTACTCCTTGAATCAGTATTAGCCTTTGTTTGATGATTTATATATGGATTCATTGAAGCTTACTTTCAGTTTTGGATGTATCAAGTGTGTAATATACTCTAGTAGAATATTCTGTCTAACAAGATATCCTCTTCCTGCCCCTCATACCAAATGTAGTGATTTGAGCATTTGTGTAATGGAACATTAATGAGTTTTTTCTTATTATTGACAAAATTTTTACATTGCTATGACCAAAAAGGGTTGTGTTCCATTCAAATGTGCAAATCTGCATAGCTATACACTATAGTAAGCAAAATAATAAGTCTCAGTTCTATAAATAGGAAGAAGAATAAATGTATTAAATTTTCATTTTTTTAGTTAATTATATGCCTGCTGCAAATGGAATGCTCTTGACGTCAGTATCAAGAAGAACTTTTAGTTGTTTTTTTTTCTATTATCTTCGAAATCCCCTTATAGCAGGGTTATCTTTTAAATTATTTATCGTGTATTTTAAGATTAATACCATACAATTTATTTGGTGGGAAATGTGCATCAATATTTGTAATATTTTGCCAAAGCCTCTTACTAAAACATACCATTTCTGGAACACAGTTGTGTAGGATAATGAAAAGGAACACTTTTTTTTTTTTAATTTGCTTTATTCCCCTGCTTTCATCTAGACACATTATGCCGTGCGGGATACCATTGCAATGTGTACAGCCGAGTCCATTGATAGCCTCCGAGCAGCAATTGAATGTGAACAGCCTCAACCTGACCTGTACAAGTAAGAATCACCTGGTCTCTCTATATTGCTACCTCTTAGCTCTGATGCTTTTCACCACCCGTATTGCAAAGAAACGCCCACCACTTGCCAGCCTACTCACATGTATGTTTTTATGAGCTGTTCTTCCTTCTGGCAGGAAAATGAATTAAATCAGCCTTGTTCACTACCAGCCTAAGATAAATTATTGTGAGCCCGGGCATCCTATATTTTTTCTTTTGTTTATTTTTGTTATTTGTAAACATGACCATCTATCAAAATTTTAAATGATGTTATCCCAAAGGGCTAATCTGTCAGACTAATGGAGTGCCCAGTGTTAATTAAAATAGAAATAAAACCCTTTTTTACATGCCATCCACTGTTAAAAAGAGAAGACAATATTGGGCCATGCAATTAGTAGGCACTCTGTCCTTTCTTGAAGTGATCACAATGAACTGAGGATTGCAAATATGCTATTTCTTGATCACAGTGAACAGTTAAGTTGAAGGAGTAGTAAAATGGTAGAATTTCTTCTGTTTTTCTATACTTAGGCTTTCTGGAATAGATTTGCTGGTTAACAGTTATTGTAGATTTTAAAAACTTGATATTTTATTTTAAGACTGGTTAGTTGGGTTGATTAGAGCATGTTGCTAATGAGGATATAGTAACAGTTTTTATCCCCACGTTGTCCAATTAATGTCATTCTATTACACATGGCATCCATTACCTAGGCCATCCACTTTGTTAGTGCACACTGTTTAAAATGGGGACCATATGGTTGAATATATTGACACCTAATAGGAGGAAAACAAAGTATATCCTACTGTGAGAATACGACCCTCCTTCCTTCCCATTATTTCTTCTGTCCTCCTTCCTTTCCTATCTTCTATATTCACCTTGAGAGTAAGAACTAGAGCCAAAAGTAAAACAGCTATTCTCCGTCTTCAAGGAACTCACAATGAGCAAAGTAGATAAAATAGTAAAGCTAAGCTTACAGTGTAATAATAGATATAATCCAAAACCCATGGAATCACAGAAAAGGGAGTGACTTACTCTGCCTATAAGTTAAAGATCAATATATATATACTCTTGTATATTTATTGAGAAACTGAAAAGTTGCTTTAAATATGAAAGAGAATTTTAGGGTAGATAAGATTATTCCTAATTTCCCTAGACAAAATTATATCTCTTGGTAATAATCACTTGCATATATTTGATTGTTCCTTTATCTTTATTAAAACAATGGAGTATGTCTTTTTCACTTATTAGTATATCTTTAGCACCTAGTGCAGTACTGGCATAACTAATATACAATGAATGAAGGAATAGATTTTCATATTTTATAGTAATTTAAAGTATTTCTCTTGTTCTATAAAGAAAACAATGTTTATATTGGAAATTACAAAACACTTTTTTTGAAAGGTAAAGTACATTTATTAAAAATAAAAATAATACACAGTAAAGCACTCTTATTAAGGAGAAGTTGGGCATTTTTACCAAATTTGGCAGAAATGCAGATTACCATGTGTCCAGTCATATAAATGATTGGCTGAAGCTCAGTATTGAGATCAGCTACAAGATGCAGGCTGGACATTTCTAAGGTGGCAATCAAGTATTCATTGTCTAAAACTACTGCCATGGTTCAGAAGATGGTCCTGGGACCAGCAGCATCAGCATCACCTAGGATCTTGAATTAGGAACTCAAATATGGGGGCCCATAGATGTTTGTTTTTGTTTTGTTTTGTTTTTGTGTCAGGGTCTCGCTAAGTTGCTTAGGGCCTTGCTAAGTTGCTGGGGTTGGCTTTAAACTTGTGATCCTTCTGCCTTAGCCTCCCAAGTTGCTGGAATTACAGTCATGCACTACCACACCTGATGAGATGTGTGGTGAGATCACCACATCTGGTGAACGCTCCCGTAATTTTGATGGCATGCTCCTGTGTAAGAACTACTGACTAATGATTTTGAAAGTTATGTTTTAGCACCAGAAACCTTTCTTCACATGAATCTAAAATAGAAGTCACATTATTTATATAAAGGCATAAAGAAGAGAGATATCCTGTGCATGCATAGTGCCAAATAGAGCTTGAAAATCAATTTAGAATCTTTGTTTATTTTCTTACAATCCATAATATTATTTTAGAGATTAGATTAAAATGCTGTACATCTTTTGATTGAATATAACTTTTCCCTCAGAAATATAATAGGATTTTGTCATTTATTCAGAATCTTATCTTTTGCATTATTTGTATTTTGATTTATTTCCTTATTGGTGGTATTTGGACTTCACCTGGACATAGAAAATACACCTGTTATTATGTTCTTTTACAGGTTTGTTGGGCGAATCAATATCTATAGTAATAGTCTTGAGGCTGTTGCCAGGTTAGTTTGTTATTCCTTTAACCTGTTCTTATGGGAGGGGAGATATATTTCTTTTTAAACTTACTAAAATAGTTAACTACCTTTCTTAATAGAAAAGGATATAAAAATAAATAATTAACTAACCTTCTGATTGGCAGAGTTGTGGGGTCTCTGTGTATAGAGGTAGGGGTTGTTGAAAATTAATGCTTAGGATTTCCAAAACAGCAGACCTCTATACCCTTTGACTAATATTCCTAGACCTGTTCTAGGCTCTGTGTTTATTGTACTTGGTTATATAGTGGCTGACAAGGTAGGAAATACACATGGCGAACAGTGGTTTAAAGGAGAGTAATTGAAGAACTATGCAGTAAATAAGTCATAGAGTACATTACTTGGACCTAAGTAAAATGATAGGCCAGTAATTTATAATGAGCCAATTCATAAAAAGGAAGTTGATTTTATTCCTCTTCTGTCACCCAGTTAGTTACCTCAACTTTTCCACTTGGCCATTTTAGTCATGCTTAAAAGAGACTTAAGGAAATGAAGGGTGATATTGCAAATGGTGGGTTATTACTCTCTACAAAGATGTCAGTGTTTTTCTCACCTTGACTTTGTCTTCACAGTGTTTTATTCGTGACCCTCTGTTTCTGTTCCTCACTGTCTGTTGCTCTGTCCTGTTCTTGTCTTGCTATCTGTGACTCATAATCACTTGATCCCTTTGTGCATTTCTTTACCTCTGCGTGTTGCTAGCTACTCCTGTGCTGTGCTTCCATCTGTGCTGTTCCCTCAAGTCACTTCAGAGGGAGGGATCTTTCAGCTTGTCCTGGGGAGTAAACATATGGTAGAAGTAGACAGATACATCCTGAAACCCTTGGAGATAGATATGTGTCAGGGCAAAATCTGTCCTCACAGTTGATGATGCCATGCATTTTTTTTAATAAGCTGTGTTCATTTTTTTTGATTAGGTCTTTGGGACCTGAAAATCTCTTGCTGAAAGGAGCTACACTAAAAAATACCAAGAAGATATATGGTAAACAATTTTAAAAATATACTTACCAGAAATAAGTTATATAAGGCCTGTGAATAAATAGTCCATGTTTAAAAATGAACATGGCAGATGTTGTATTTATTATCGGCTATATTTATGTGTTGGGAATTTACAAGATGATAAACAAACATGAAATATGATACATAATTTACAGAATTAAGATTATATCAAATAATGTATTAACTAGTGAGTAGAATAGGACTTAGGATTTTTACATTTATAGACTTGAAAATTTATAGAACCAAGGGGTAGGAAGTTGGTTGATAAATTCAGTTGTAACCTACTTTTTATTCCTTAGGAGTTGCTGTTTACACTGGGATGGAAACCAAAATGGCTTTGAACTACCAAGGGAAATCTCAAAAACGTTCTGCTGTTGAAAAGTTAGTGTGCACCATGATTTCTTTAGTCATTATTGATTGACATAGTTACTTCCTCAGTAATTCCAAACTAGTATAACAAAAAAACTATTTCAGTTATAATAGCAGCTAGCATTTTGAGTGTTTATTTTCCAGAAACTGTCCTTAATAGTTTATATGTCAGATTTTATTTAATCTGCTGAAGAACTCCTTAAAAAGTAATTTGTATTAGCTTCTCCACTTTACACACCAGAAAATGGTCTTTAAGAGAATAAGTGACTTACCTAAGCTTACATAGCTATTAAAGGTAGAATTTACTTGAATAATAAATTCATTTCATTTCGTTATTGTAGTTAGTGGTTTGGAGGTGTCTCATTGCTGTGTTCAAGTTGGTTCTACAATATAGATAATAATCTCCTAGCAAATAAAGTAGACCTTCAAGCCAGGTACAACTGACAGAGACCTCTCTATCATGGGCATGGATATCCAGTATCTCAATGGCACCTTCTCCAGAGCTGTACTTTCAAACTATGCTGAGAAAGAATATAATCTGAACTTGAGGATTTCACATGGCTACCTGCCCTCAGTTCCAAATATTTAGAATTTAGGGACATGGAGACAAGCTACTCCTTATGGGCTGAATAGGTAATTATGTGTGTCTCCATCATCTCCTATTCCTTTATAGGAACCTTACTAAAAGTGTGTTAATCTAGCCAGCCATTGATTGGGGGAACACTGGTGATAATAATAAATAGTTCAGGGCTAGCTTTTAAGTTTTGTCACTCTATAGCCATGCTGCAGCTATGATAACTGAGTTTCATATGTAAAAGTTTGTGTTGTGTTTGAACATCATTCACAGAGAAATGTTAGATAACTGAACAGTTGAATTTATATTTGATGTCTTAATTAGATAGTTTTAAAACCCATACTCTTATTTTTTCAGATCTATTAATGCCTTCTTGATGGTTTATTTATTTATCTTATTGACCAAAGCTGCAGTATGCACTACTCTAAAGTATGTATGGCAGAGTACCCCATATAATGATGAACCTTGGTATAACCAAAAGACTCAGAAAGAACGGGAGACTTTAAAGGTAACTTGTTTTCCACTGAAAATTGTAGCTCAAGGATTTTGTAACCATTCATCCTTTATGGAAATACTAGTCAGAAAAATGATACCTTTGTTAGCTTCTATGTTTTCTTTTTAGTTAAAGCCCTATGGCATTAAATATTTAAGTTTTAATTTTTAAAATTTTACATAAATCATCCATGATTTTTAGTTTTCTTTTTACATTACTGGAGATTGAACCCAGGGACACTCTACCATTGAGTTATGTCCCTATCCCTTTTTACCTTTTATTTGGAGACAAGGTCTTACAAAGTTACCCATGCTGATCTCAGACTTTGCACTCTTCCCGCCTCTACCTCAGCCTCTTGAGTCCCTGAAGTGTGTCACTGCACCTGACATCTATGCTTGATTTGAGCTCTTTAGTTAAGATTTTGAAGTAAACTGGCAAGAAATGCTGGCATTTTAATACAATGTGAGCTTGTGAGATATGATAGCATAATGGATATTTGTATATAAATTTTTATCTCACATTCATATATAGGGATGAAGGGAGCAGAGGACTTAAGAAAGTGAAAAAAGTGTAAAGATAGAAGGTAGTGGGGCTGGGGTTGTTGCTGTAGAGCACTTGCCTAGCACACCTGAGTCACTGGGTTCAATCCTCAGCACCACATAAAAGAACAAATAAATAAAATAAAGTTATTATGCCCGTATACAACTAAAACAATATTTAAAAAAAGAAGGTACATACCCTGAACAACAATGATAAAATTGAAAATGTTCCTAAATGTTTTCACATTGTGATAATTTTCACTACAATGATGTAGTATCTTTGGTAAGTTTCTCTATAGCAAGAGCAATGCTTTCAGCATTGATGGATAAAAAGAAAGTCAACTGTTTCTTTACATTATATTCATCTGATGGAGCTGTGCATCTAACTAGCATTAATGGTCTCTTTTATTTTATTAGGTTCTGAAAATGTTCACCGACTTCCTATCATTTATGGTCCTATTCAACTTTATCATCCCTGTCTCCATGTATGTCACAGTAGAAATGCAGAAATTCTTGGGCTCCTTCTTCATTTCATGGGATAAAGACTTTTATGATGAAGAAATTAACGAAGGAGCCTTGGTTAACACGTCAGACCTTAATGAAGAACTTGGTCAGGTTAGAACACATTTTTGCTTACAATAAGTTAATGTAGTGTAATTCCTTTTTTTTGTGTGTGTAGTATAGATTATCAATATATGTCCCCATTTCACATTTAGAAATGTGATTAAAAGTTCTTTTATGCAGGCATGTAATAAAGGTAAGCAGTGTTTTCATCACCATAGCATCAGTTCTTTTGCTGGCATTTTTGAGAAGGATGCAAGTTATATATTAAATCAGAATGTTGCAGAAATTCTTTTTTTATATTTATTTTTTAGGTGTAGATGGACACAACACATTGCCTTTATTTTTATGTGGTGCTGAAGATCGAACCCCGGTCCCACCTGTGCTAGGCGAGAGTTCTACCGCTGGGCCACAATCCCAGCCCCAGAAATTCTTTTTAAAATTCACCAAGTGATATTGTTAGATTACTAAGTTATTGCTTTAGAATAGGAAACATACAGTCTTCATTACTATCTATAATCATTTATGGATAGAATACAGAGTAGTAAATATAGCTGTTTTATAAATGCATGTTGTTCAATAAACAAAATTGACTGGAGTTGTGCTATTGACCTTTCTTGGTATATTTCTGATTAGAAGGAATATAGACCTAGAAAGAAGAGTTAATTATTGTGGTATGTGAATTTAAATGAAGGGAAAATGTGAAGGCACGTACTCCTTAAAATGCTTTCTGTTTTATATACCAATATAGCCAAGTCTGTGGCCTCGTTTCTAACCCAGGTGCATTTATTTTCTGTTGTGATGCTGTCTAACTGTAATTCCAAGTAATGACCTCTTAGTTGCTTTGCTCATTAATATTGAAATACTCTCCCCCTTTTGTCTGAATTTACAGTGTATCATGTAATGATCATCACAGGCTGAGGGAATTTTCTGGCATGCATTTAATTCTCATGATATTTAGAATGTCAAGGATGTGGAAATGTCATTTCTGTGATTGGGAAATGCAAACTCGATTAATGAAACTGTGGGCTGGAACAGTGCCTCACACTTGTTTTAAATGGGGCTGATTTGCATGTAATACCTTAAAATTCCCTTGCCCTGAATTTAGCCCTCCCACTACCCGCACTCTCTATTTCTGCTTTTGACACAATCTTTTGCCTAACCAGAGTACCCTTTTAATAACTAAGGACTCTCCAGATACTATTTTGTTTAGATCTGACTTCAGAACACTAGTAAGCCAGACCTTAGAACCTGTATTCTATATAGACACTGAAGCACTAAGAATAAGACAAGAATTGAAAGAACCAATGGCTTTTCTCTTATTGTTCCTAGAAGATTCTTTTGTTCATGAGTTGGGCTTCCATAGCTGACCCTAACCTTTTTAAGCTACAAATTTTCATCCATGGACAGAGCTATCTGAATAAAAGTACTCTGTTCTTGATAAAAGGCATCAGTCTGAAGGCTTATTGCATGAAAACATTTTTGAGTGTACATGCCACCTCTGATGAACCTTTTCCCCTGACAATTAATTTAGTGGTTCATCCTAGATGCTGAGTAAATGTTCCTGTTCTCTATTTGGTGCCTCATTGTGTGAATTCACCTACCAAGGGTGAGCATAAGTAGCCTGGGGCTAGCCTCTAGTAACTATTGCAAACAGACTAGCCACCATTCCATGTGTGACACTCATTGCTGTGCAGAGACAGACAGCATTTCCAGACCAGGTTCTCCTTGATGTGACTCATCTCTTTCAGATCTCTACTTCAGCAGATTCTATATTACCATATAGACTTTATTAAGACTGTAAAAAGTAAAGTAGGGCTTGTGAAAAGGAACTGATTTTTTTTTTAAGAGAGAGAGAATTTCAATATTTATTTTCTAGTTTTCGGCAGATACAACATCTTTGTTTGTATGTGGTGCTGAGGATCGAACCCGGGCCGCACGCATGCCAGGCGAGCGCGCTTCCACTTGAGCCACATCCCCAGCCCAAGGAGCTATGATTTTTGTTTCAGTGCCCACTCCCTTTGCCCACCAGACCCTGTGTGTCTGGGTGTGATTATCTTTTAATCAAATCATTAATTCAATAGCAGATCACACCCAGTGTCTTAAACAACTTGCCATCATTATTAGCTTGTTTGTGTAGAAACTACCTGAATGAAAATACAGAGAAGTCTTTGAATAGTTTCTTAGACAATTTAGCATTTTGTGTATACCGGTATACACAAAATTAAGTGTAACCAGTTTCTTCCTTGATAAGTCATAATTTAATATCTATATGGCTTTTTATGTTACTAAAGGCAGTATCAGTTCATTCCCACCAATGTCATGTCAAATATTTGCTTAACCTCTTTAAAAAGTGACCTACTGGCAGGGTATATAGTGTACGCCTGAAATCCCAGTGACTTTGGAGGCTGAGACAGGAGGATCTCGAGTTTAAAGCCAGTCTCAGCAACTAGCAAGGCCCTAAGCAACTTAACGAGACCCTGTCTCCAATGTATGTGTGTGTGTGTGGCTCAGTGGTTAAGTGCCCTGGATTCAATCCCCGGTACCAGGAGGGAAAATTAGGTACTGGTATTAAAAAAATGAATAGAAAGATATGTTTAGGACAGTGTTTGATGTGAGAACCAAATAAATTAGATTATTCAGCTTAATTCGAAAATAGTGGGGTCTTTTATGATTAGACACCAATCTTATACAACCAAATGGTTTCAGTCCATCTTGAAAAAATTATGAGACTAGCCTTCTTCTGTATATCCTCTCCTAGTCTTGTGGCTGTATTAATCTAGCAGGAACCACCCTCCACTCAGTCCACTGCCATGCAGACAGGGTAGAGTTACAAAAAGAACTAGTGGGCTGTTTGCATCCCCAGATAATATTGCTGCATTCACTGTTAACCTTGTTTTTGCTAGATGAGGTGAAGGTATAACCCACACCCATCAGGGCCTTAGGAATTCTGACAGAGGGTTTATAAAAACATAGTTACTGGCTAAGCATATAGCTCAGGTATAGAATATTTGCCTAGAATATTTGAGGCCCTGGGTTCTACTTCCAGCATCATAATAAAAAAAAAAAGAGTTAACAGTTTCTTGGTTAGGGCTCATCCCTGCTTCTAGCACTTACAGTTGTATCCCTGGTCCTATGACCACTGCATCAGGTAGAGGGAAAAGTAAAAAAAAAAAAAAAAAAAAAAAAAAGAAGAAGAAGAAAAGTTGAAGTGATCTGAGGAAAAAGGGAAAGCAGTATAGTTGTTACACCAGCATACTTTTCCCTTGACAAGAATTACATAGTCATGCACAGGGTGTGATGGCACATACCGTAATCCCAGCTACTAGGGAGGCTGAGGCAGGAGTATCATAGGTTCAAGGCCAGCCTCAGTAACTTAGGCCCTGTCTCAAAATAAAAAAATAAAAAGGACTGGGTGTCACAGGAAAGCAGGGAGTTGAAACTCCAAACCTCAGTTTTTTAATTCTAATGAAAGAAAATTTTAAGCCAGACACCAAAAGCCATGCAAGACAACTTTATTATAAGCAACAGTTGAGTAGAAGTGAGGTGAAAATAAAGTAAAAGCTAAGTAAGGCTCAAGCAGAGAACACACTAAAGGGAGAGAGTGAATCATCCTCTGAGCTCCCCATTTATGGGTCAGCATCCACTTATCAGAGAGAACATTGGGCATTTGGTTTTGGGGGATTGGCTTACTTTATTTAGCATGATATTCTCCAACTCCATCCATTTACCTGCAAATACCATAATTTTATTCTCTTGTAATGTGCCGCAGTCCGGCTGCAGCAAAATAACCCGGGGGTGACGAGCAAATTGTGTAGATTGATACAGCAGGAGTGGGAGCCGTTTATTGTAGGACAGGAGGGGTATATATACATTCCACACAGCTTATCTTAATTAACATAACATAGCAGTCAACCAATAAGGAATCTCCACACTTAATGGTTCGCTGGCGTTACTTCACAAACCACTCCCTCTGGCAAAATGCCAGGTGCCATCTTGACTTGTTTACAGACCCTAACATTAATGCTGTGCAATATTTCATTGTGTTTAAGTACCATGATTTCTTTATCCATTTCTTTATCCTTCTTTATTGAAGGGCATCTAGGTTGCTTCCACAGTTTAGCTATTGTGATTTTGCTGCTATAAACATTGATGTGGCTGCATTACTATAGTATGATTTTAAGTCCTTTGGGTATAGACCAAGGAGTGGGATTCCTGGATGAAATGGTGGTTCCATTCCAGGTTTTCCAAGGAATCTCTATACTGCTTTCCATATTGGTTGCACCAATTTGCAGTTCCACTAGCAATATATGAGTGTACCTTTTTTCCCCACATCCTCACCAACACTTATTGTTGTTTGTATTTTTAATAGCTGCCATTCTGACTGGAGTGAGGTCAAATCTTAGAGTAGTTTTGATTTGCATTTCTCTAATTACTAGAGATATTGAACATTTTTTCATATATTTGTTGATTGGCTGTATATCATCTTCTGAGAAGTGTCTGTTCAGTTCCTTGGCCCATTCATTGATTGGGTTGTTTGGGTTTTTTTTTTTTTTTTTTTTTTTTTTTTTGATGTTAAGTTTTTTGAGTTCTTTAATATCATGGAGATTAGTGCTTTATCTGACATGTATGTGGCAAAAATTTGTTCCCATAATGTGGGCTCTCTCTTCACCTCATTGATGTTTCTTTTGCTGATAAGAAGCTTTTTAGTTTGAATCCATCCCATTTATTGATCCTTGATTTTATTTCTTGCACTTTAGTAGTCTTATTGAGGAAGTTGGGGCCTAATCTGACATGATGAAGATTTGGGCCTATTTTTTTCTATTAGACACAGAGTCTCTGGTTTAATTCCTAGGTCCTTGATCCACTTTGAGTTGGGTTTTGTGCATGGTGAGAGATAGGGGCTTATTTTCATTTGGTTGCATATGGATTTCCAGTTTTCCCAGCACCATTTGTTAAAGAGGCTATTTTTTTCTCCAATATATGTTTTTGGCACCTTTGTCTAGTATGAGGTGACTGTATTTATGTGGGTTTGTATCTGTCTCTTCTATTCTGTACTATTGTTCTCCAAGTCTACATTGGTGCCAGTACCACGCTGCTTTTGTTACTGTAGCTTTCTAGTATAGTTTAAGGCTGAGGATTACTTTGGTAATTGGAGCAGAGGCATTTTTTGACCTTAGTTGGTCCTTTCCAGCTGTCATGGCAGCCATCATATTCAGGGAGGCTTCATCTACCAGTCAGTCCCATGTTAATGTGGGAATTGGAGTCAGTGGCCAGTCAGAAGTGTAGTGCACCTGTACTACCAAAGGAATCTTCCTTCCCAGACAAGTGGAAACACCTATAGCCATAATTCCTAGCTTGATACCAGCCTCAATGGATCCTGTCAAGAGTTAGTCCCATTAATCATTTTCTATTGACATATTTTTCAACTAGCCTCCTGTTTATTTTCTGCAAATTAACTTCAACCCTTTGCTTTCTCTTCCACTTTGAAAGTACTTTAAAGAAGACCTTAAAGTACTTTAAAGAACACTTGCCATATGTTTCACTGCTTATTTCTAGCTACTACCTAACATGGGGCTGTGGCTCCGTGGTTAAACACCCCTGAGTTCAATGCCAGTACCCTCCCCACAAAAAGAATTGCATAGTCAAATTAGGATACCCTCCTTCCCCCACTTCCCCAAATCCACCAGAAAAACAAAGGAAAATCTAATGGGGACACTTCTTTAGTCCTTCTCTTATTGAATATAAGCTATCAGTCATCTCATTAGCATACAACATAAGGTCTTATCACTCTGGAGATGCCAAGTATTTTAGGAGCTATGCATCAGGAAAAAATGGAGATGAGAGATGGCCAAGTATACATTTCACAATAGCCATAAAATGGTAAGTTTTAACTTGCTGATATAGGGGAGTCTGTTCAACAGGCTCAAAGTTGTCCTTAAAGAGGAAGAGGTTGCTTGGGAGAGAGTCAGGCAGCCAAGGGGCATCCTTTCCTTTAAATGTGAGTTGTTTGATTGTTGTTGTTTTGTTTTAATTGTTTTTCTGTTGCTGGAAATGAAAGCCAGGGCCTCATGCATGCTAGGCAAGTATACCACCACTGAGCTACATCCTCAGGCCTGAGATTATTTTTTGTGGGTGGTAGGGGTGAGGATGTACCAGGGGTTCTTACCCACTGAGTCATATCCCATCTCATTTTATTTTTTTGAGACAGTGCCTCACTAGGTTGTTGAGACTGGCTTTGAACTTGTGATCCTCCTGCCTCAGCTTCCCAAGCCACTGGGATTATAGGTGTGTGCCTCTGCACCTGTCCCTAGTCCTTTTTATATTTTATTTTGAGACAGGGCCCCATAAGTTGCTGAGGCTGGCTTTGGAATTGCAGTCCCCTGCATCAGCCTCCTGATACACTGGAATTACTGCTGTGCACCACCAAGTCTGGCAAGAATATATATATTTTTTTTATTGGTAAGAATCATATCTGGTCTCCCCCTTCCTTTCCCAGAGTATATGTTATATAATGGGGCACTGGTTGTTAAGTCTGATCATTGGACCAATAATATCAATATCACCTAGGAATTTAGGAGAGCAAATTATCCAGCCCCAACTCAGACCTATTAAGTCAGAACTGGAAAACAGAACCCAAAACTCTTGAGTTTTAATAAGCCATCCAAGTACAGGTAACACATGCTCTAGTTTGATCATTGATGTATTCTGGTGTAGTTTATTTGGCTCTACCTGTGAATGTCAGTGTTTTCAGACCTCTACTACCCAAACTGTTACATAGGTGAAGAAATTGTATTTTATATTTCGAAGTTATCACCTTTATCACTAATGAGAAAATTTGAATGGGCTAATGCTAATCCACCTGCAGAATGTGAAACAACCTGGCATAGCCTTCAGGAGAAAATGAAAGTTAATAATTTGGATCAGAAAAAAAAGCTTCAAAAAATTTCATTTGAACTGAAAAATCTACATGAATAATAACACTTGGATTAATTTAAAGAGAGAATTCAAACTTGGCTGGGTAACGGGGGAAAAAAAAGGAAAGATTGGAATGCTATATTTGTGCCTGTGCTACAACTGTGAAAAGCTTTGAAAAATAATTAGAAAGCAACTATTGCTGGAGTTCATCTCCTTCTCCTTTACATAATAAAAACCTTAATCTTGTGCTTATGGTTGTTCCTGTCAGCCCATAATTTTAACTATTTAAGCATAAATTGCCAAAAAGGAGAATAAAATTGTGGGTTTTCAAAGCCAGATATTATAAATAGAAGACATAAATCTGAGATAAAATAGAAATGCTTAAAATAGTCTATTGTAATGGAAAATTTATTTTATAGCTGATTCTCCCATTATTTATTAAAATATGCTTATGTTATACATGAACCTATTATTATAAACTGTTTTTATAAATTTTTTTTATAAATTTGGAAACTTAAGAGAAGTGTCTGAAAAATGTGCATACTGTGTAGAAAGAAATACAGTAGTGTTTTTTTAATCACTATTGACCTATTGTGTCTCCTAATTAGATTACTTTTCTAGTCTATATTCTGTGATTCTTATGGTATTATATGATATAATACATATTACTTCAATTTTTTTACAGAAAATTTTAGTTTTCAGGGGGGAGAAGCTCATCAGTTTTTATTTTTATTTTGTTACATCCAGTTAATTTTTGGTTCCTATTAAATTTTTTTCCAATGGGTTATTTACATGCCAGCCCATAAAGAGAGAAAAAGAATGTGTGTGTGTGCGTGTATGTCGTGCACGCGCATGTGTATGTATATGTGTGTGTGTAAAGTAAATGCTCAGTATATTAGTATATTTTCGTTTCCCCCTTGGAAAATTAATATAGCTTCTATACATTGAAACAGGTTAAGTTAAATAGTTAAATTAAAGAGTTTTTAGTTTGATAAGAAAGTCATGGTTTTTCTTCTTATTGATCTTCTACATTTAAGTAGGTCTACCTTAGTTATATGTCACTATTTCAGTGTCTTTAAAAACATTCATTCCACATTTGTTTAATAGGATTGTCTCTGTAATTCCTGACATTTGACTAGAAGTCTTAGAAGTGATTTTTCCCCTATAGATATGAAATTTTAATAACTAAAATTATTAATTAAATAAAAACTAATAATTTTTAATTAATAAAAATTCATGGGTGGGGCTGGGGTTGTGGCTCAGTGGTAGAGCGCCTGCCTCGCACATGTGAGGCACTGGGTTCAGTCCTTAGCATCACATTAAGATAAATAAATGGAGATATTGTATCTATCTACAACTAAAACAAATATTTAAAAAAAAAATTCATGGTCTAGGGATACAGCTCAGTGGTAGAGCACTTGTCTTGCATGTGTGAGGCCCTGGGTTTAATCCCCAGAACCTTAAAATAATTATCACACTAAAGAAACATATGTTTGTGTCCTTGTTTTCAGGTGGATTATGTATTTACAGATAAGACTGGAACACTTACTGAAAATAGCATGGAATTCATTGAATGCTGCATAGATGGGCACAAATATAAAGGTGTAACTCAGGAAGTTGATGGATTATCTCAGACTGATGGACCTTTAACATATTTTGACAAAGCAGATAAGGTGACATTTTCTGCATTACCATTTTTACCTGAGAATTCAGTCTATATAAGCATGTACTTCCCCCTGCATAGTAGAAACAATTTTCCAGTAGACAAATGACCTAAAATTTTGAATAACCATTTGATTTTTCTTTTTGCTTTGCCATTTCTTGTTTTACTAATACCACTAGAATTTATAAATTAGTAGAACTCATAAGTAGAGAGAATTATGGGAAGTAGCATTTAAGTAAAAATTTCACTTGCCTATCTGATTATTATTTTTTAAAATATGAGCTCCTTCAAAGAATGATATCTCTTCAAATCATTTAGGTCCTAGGAATATGTAGACATTAAATGACCCAGAGTGTCCCTATACCTGAGCTATTGCTCAATTATGAATTAGGTATCAAATGGCATTCCTTAGCCAGGCCTGATGGTGCACGCCTGTAATACCAGCAGCTCGGGAGGCTGAGACAGGAGGATTGTGAGTTCAAAGCCAGCCTCAGCAAAAGTGAGACATTAAGCAACTCAGTGAGACTCTAGGGCTGGGGATGTGGCTCCATGGGTGAGTGCCCCAAATTCAATTCCCGTTAACACCACCCCCCACCCAATAAATATATGGCATTCCCTTTAGTCCATTAAGAAGTCAGTGGCTTATTATAGGTGGCACTACAGTAACCTGAATGTGTTTATGCATCCTCTAGGGATACTGGCTAGGGACCAGAAATTCTGTTAGAAGTTGAGGGAATATATAGCTCATTTGAGTCCTAGGAATTTATAATTTTTGTTACTCAGTTCTCTAGAGGTTATAATATTCTCTCACATTAATACATTTTATGTGTTCAGTGCCTAGTGATCAAAGTGAAAATAATGCAGTTATTCTTCTGTTGCTTTTCCACAGAACCGAGAAGAACTCTTTCTGCGTGCCTTGTGTTTATGTCATACTGTAGAAATTAAAACAAATGATACTGTTGATGGAGCTACAGAATCAGCTGAATTAACCTATATCTCCTCGTCACCAGATGAAATAGCTTTGGTGAAAGGAGCTAAAAAGTAAGAACTCTTGTACTTCTCCTAAGAAAGTGAAATCACAGGATGACAGGAGTTAATTTGAGTTTTTTTCCATTTGCTCGGATAACCATATTGTGTACCTCTTCTCTAAGTGCTATCTAAAAGTTTGTAAAAATTCCCAAATATAACCAGTTACATCCAAATAGAAAATAGTGATGCATAGATGTAATTTGCCCTATTATTTATGTATGCTAGCCACGAGTCTGAATTTTCACATTATATTTTGCAATATAATGTGTCTGGCCAATACCAAATAGCAGTGGCCACTTTTTGTACAACACATGTTATTTTTAAAGTACTGCCAGCAATTTTGACGACATTTGATAAGTGACAGTCCAGTTTTCCCCAGGAGGCTCAAGATGATTAAGTGGTAAAAGATCACTTAATATGTTAGCTGCAGAATTGGAATTACAAATTGTCTTTACCTTGGTTATAATAATTGTGACTGGGCTTTGACTTGCTCTGTTCTATCAACTGATCCAGGAATGGTAAGTGCAGTTGTAGGTTGAGATCATGTAAGAGAGAAGAATTAACAAGGATGAATAGATTCATTACAAGGGGAAATTAATTGTTCCTTAGAGACACACAAAGGTTCTTTTTTGTTTTTGATAGGTACGGGTTCACATTTTTAGGAAATCGGAATGGACATATGATACTAGAGAACCAAAGAAAAGAAATAGAAGAGTAAGTAGCTCTGTGTTGTCTTATGTCCATCACTCCCAACCCCAGTCAACTTTACATGGATTTAGGAAGGATTACAAAGGAAACTAATGAACCTATAAATGTAGAACTCTGATCTCTCAATTCAGAGTTCTATATAATAAATGTAGCAGTAGAAGCTGTTTTTAATACAATGGCAGGACCTGGGATGTGTTTCACATGTAGGTCCAGTAGCCAGAATGAGAATTTGCCTGGACTGTTCCTGAAATTTAGATACCATTTTAGTTCTCTAACACATGCTACAAGAAAAATCAGAGAATGTGTATGAAACCTTCTGCTATCTAGAGCCCAAGAAATCACTCTGGGATTACAAGCCCAGCAATTCAAAACACCAAAGTAGCTTTGGTGTTCAATAGAACCTTTGCCTTGTTCTTAGAAATTCAAGTGTTAGCCTAAGGGCAAGTACCCTGGTACAGCAGTATCTTAGGATCTTAGTATTTCTGTTTTTGCTACAAAACCCCAAGGAACAAAGCCACCTTGGCTTAATGACAGAGTTTAAATAGGCTCAGTGATTAATTCAAATTTTTCATTTGAACTTGAAATGTAATTATCTTATTTGACTTCCATTCTGGCCCTGAAAATCCCATGAGATTCATCTCAGAAACCTATAATACATGTAAAGGCCCTTGGGTAATAGTCCCCTTTGAGGTGGGATGCTCAGCAGTCCAGAGGAAGGCTCTGTGGTCTGATTGCCAGCAACCTGGAGTCATGATGACCATCCAGATTCTAGTCAGTCCACAACAGTACCTCTGTCTGGCCAACACCAAATGAAATGCTACACATAGATGTCTTAAACACAGCTCCCTTCCCCACCTCAAAAAGCAAAAATTGGTCCACTCACCCCCACCAAAATCAAGCTATATAATAAACATTTTAAGAAAATATTTTCTGGTTGTAGATGGACAGAATGCCTTTATTTTATTTGTATATGGTGATAAGGATTGAACCCAGTGCCTCATACATGCAAGAAAGTGCTTTGCCACTGAACTACAGTCCATCCCAACATTTTTATGTTAAATATATGTATCTAAGTTGTTTATTTTTTAAAAAATTCCATCATGCTTTTTTTTGATAATTGCCTCTTATTTTAACTCTTCTGTATCCTTACATCTGATTAATAGTTTAGCCATACATACACAAATCTGATCAGTCTCTTAATATCATCCACTCTTTAAACCCTTCATTAGCTTCCTGTTGCTCTTAAGACAAAATGCCAAATTTTTTAACCAGCCCACAAAGTTCTGTTTTCAGCTCCTGCTTGCCTTTCTTGCTTCATTTCTTGCTGTTTGCCTGTGAATGAGTTTTCCATACAAAGGGAAACTTTAAAGTCCTTGCTATGCCTTTGCATCTGATCTTAGTCTATACTATCAGAATGCCCTGTCCCCTTTCTGCATCTCATTCTTGCAGAACCCAGCTCAGGCACCTCTTTCAGAAAACCTTCCTTCTGATGGCTTTTTTTTCTGTAGTTTTATCTCTCCTTTGTAAGTGCCTTTTTTTCACTATTTGACAACTGGGAGAGTAATTGTATCTTAACCTATTCTGTATTAGAATGTGGTGAACTCGGGCTGAGGTTTTGGCTCAGTGGTACAGCACTTGCCTAGCACGTGTGAGGCCCTAGCTTCAATCCTCAGCACCACGTAAAAATAAATAAAATAAAAGTATTATGTCCAACTACAATTAAAAAATAGATTTTTTTTTAAATGTGGTAAACTCCTCGAGGGAGTGGGCTCAGGCAGATTCACCACTGTTCCCCAACACACAGCACTATGACTGGCCCTTAAGAGGCACTCATAGAACATAGTAAAATAATTAGAAGAGCAGAACTATTTCTAGATCCTTCCAGATATGGCTTGGTGGGACTGCTTTTTGTTCTCCATTCGTATGTAGTCGCTCTCCTTACTATTTTAAGTAATATAATAAAAGGATATAAATACCCTACCAACTCAGATATCCTGTGACAGCAGGTTCTATATGCAGAGAAATTTTAAAAAAGAAAGAAAGTACCAGTTGTGTATACAACTAGCTACCCTCATTCAAAGAGGAGAATTATCTGTTCATTTAAGATTTTTAAATATATTTAGATGTTTCTATTGTGTTTTATTTTGCTCAACATGGCCCAGGTATTTTACTTTTTTCATTTCTATTCTTTTGAAGGTATGAACTTCTTCACACCTTAAACTTTGATTCCATCCGCCGACGTATGAGTGTAATTGTGAAGACTCAAGGAGGTATACCTCTTCATACTTGACTTTTTCCATTTGTAGGATAAACTATTTCAGAAAATTTAAGCATTGTAGGTAGTAGCTTAGGATTAGGTAAAGTTTTGCAAAACAGCGGCATTTATAAATATGCCTTCATGTATTTATTTGGAAACATGTTCAGTTTGTCAAATTGTCAATGGCAGAATGCCTGGTGTGATAGTAAATGCATTTTCTTGGAAATAAAACTGTATTCCTTTGCACTGGCTATCCAGACAGGAACTGAAAGAATGACTTATGGTTCAGTATACCAACCATACTCATTATTGTGGTCACAGTATTATTGGTAGTCACTACCAATAAAGTTATGCTATAGTAATTTTACTGGAGACAGCAGCTCAGATGTAGTTAGATGGTCTAGAATTACCAACAGTAGGAAGCCTAGAGTGTAGAGAGCTCCTGCTTCAATCACCCAGACCTTCCTAGTTCCCCTGTTGCTCTCTGGAATTTGGTGACTTAGAGATGATTCAGTCAGATTTCTGGGTAGGGCATACTGGATTCATTCCAGAGCTCAAGGATCTTTAACAAAATATAGCTTGCTCTTTGCAAAGGAACCAGTACTATCATCCCAGATCCTCAATGTCCTTGAGATGCACCATGGTGATTTGTCTTCTCAAATTCTGAAAGTCCCATGGGGAGCACTCTCAGATGTGTGTGTATGTGTGCACACATGTGTCTTTGGCCCAGGAGGTTTGTTTTCTAAATATCCTTGTTTTATTTCCCAGTAATATACTTTAGCAATAAATCCGTTCCAAATTCATTAATGTAAGAATGAGGACGGACACACTTTTCCTCATAACTTGTGGTATGAATGCAAAGACATTAAATTGATTTTAATGTATGGCAATGGGATCTGTTTTATAATTTTATTTATTTTTAATTTTTTGTCATATGACTTTTAAATACATTTTGGATGTATGAGGAAAAACCAAAAAGCACATTTAACTTTTGAATTACCCACTGTTCTACATATATGTTCTCCTACATATGATGAAATGTCTGGAAAAGTGGCCTGCAAAGGTTGTTTTCCTCAGAACTCTGCTTTTTAATTTGTTGAATTCAACTATCTGCTTTATAAGGGTTAAGTGTCTCTTAGTGCTCAAATGTGAATATTTCCCAGGTATATGAACTAATCTAAAGTTGTGCTTGTACCAGTATAAGCATTTTACAAAGCTATTTTCAAGTTCCTAGTAAAAGCTGTCAAGCCAGTGTTTCAAAAGCTAGCTTTGTATAGCTTATTCATAATTGAAGCCTGTTTGAACTTAAGTTTGGTTTTCACGTTCATAGATGCCCTATGTGCACTCTAGGCCATTGCTGAGTACATTTTTAAAAATAATCCTATTGCCTCTCCTTGATACAAGTGTGGTCCTCCATGATTCACTGGGAGGAAATGTATTTTAACCAAGTCGCATGTTGTAAATTCTGGCTTATTTATTGTGTCCATAAGGGTCTAAATTTCTCTTGACAGACTAAAACTTAAGATGTCTAATTTCATTTGGGTGTGTGTTGAAAGGCAGGCTTGGAATACATAGCATCTGGTTGGGAGAGGTCACCTTAACAATTCTCTTATTAAAATATCAATACCATTCTTAAAATTCTAAGTTGAGTATTTTGGTTCTTTGTTTTAGGAGACATCCTTCTTTTTTGTAAAGGAGCAGATTCAGCAGTTTTTCCCAGGGTGCAAAACCATGAAATTGAGTTAACTAAAGCCCATGTGGAACGTAATGCAATGGTGAGCCTACATCCCTCCCCTCAATAAGTAAATGGAGAAGTGCTGCAAATGTTTATGGGATTACTTTTTCAATGGACGTTTAAGCTGGGCATAGTGATGCATGCTTCTGATCACAACTCCTGGGCAGACCAGGGCAGGAGCACCTTAAGTTCTGGGTATTAAAGAGAGGGAGAGAAGGACAAATGAGTGACTTCTGAGCAAAGGGATTCAAGAGCTAACCACTGGTTGGTGAATATTTCACACATGCTTGAGGTTAAAATAAAATGGGAGCTTGATCTGCCTTGGTAATTTAAAGAGTCAGTACCTTAAAATAAAAATAAGGGTTGGGGATATAGCTCAGTGGTGGAATGTACCTGGGTTCAATCCCGAGTACCACATAAATATAAATAAGTGGATGTTTAAGTGAATTTTATTTTTATTGTGTATTTTTGTATTGGCAGTTTTAATATTATTTTCTTTATTTTAATATAAACTATTATCCTTGGAGTAACATTTGATCAGAATTTGCAGCCTTATAAACTTTTCCAGAATCTTTGTTAAAAGCTCTATTTTATTTATTCAAAACCTAACAATGTTACCTTTTTCAGTTGCATTCTGTTCATTTTTTTAAACTACAAATGTGTCAGAATTTCTCTTTATACAAAGCAAGAGTATTTAAAGAGGTTGTGTATCTGTGTGTGTGTGTGTGTGTGTGTGTTCAGCTATTATGGGGATAATTATGAATCTTCTACTTTACTTCTAGGATGGGTACCGGACACTCTGTGTGGCCTTCAAAGAAATTACTCCAGATGATTATGAAATAATTAACAGACAGCTCATAGAGGCAAAAATGGCCTTACAAGACAGAGAAGAAAAAATGGAAAAGGTTTTTGATGATATTGAGACAAACATGAATTTAATTGGAGCCACTGCAGTGGAAGACAAGTAACTAGAAATGATACTCTTGTTATTTTAATGACCAGGCATTTACGGTGGCATCTGTCCCAAATTAGTAATTTATTCATGTTTTGAAATCTCTGATTTAACTTTGTTGTCTAAATGGGCTTAAAGATTCATTTATTTTTAACAAGTATGAAAAATTACAAAATTTTGATCTGTTTGTAGGAATGGTTTTAAAGTTAAATACATGTGACTTAGAAGAATGAACCAGTTAGTACTAAAGTCTTTGGATATTTAAGCCAACTACTTATTTATGTAGATATTTATAAAGTAGACTGTTATGTGTAAAGAGGGATGCTAGAGCCGCCAGTAGAGCTATGATACCTGGAAGAATGGGTAAGATTTTGACAGAGATGAACAGAAAGAAAATCCAACCTAAAGTGAACAGCACAAGTGCTTAATCTAACCTGGTTTCACAGACCAGAGTATAGTTTTGCTTACTTTAAAATCATATTCTTTTAAATATACAAGCTGAACTCTGCCAAACATAATTGTAGGACTCTGCATTGATCTTCTTGAAAGAATAAGTGTTAGATTCTTAATATTTTAGGAGTTTTCTAAGGAATATAAATGCAAATTATGAGACATAACCAAACAAAAAGTTATAAACATATATTCAGTTTGTATAGTTATACATAATTATAGGGTTCATTTTGACATAGTCATACATGCACGGAATATAATTTGCTCCACTTCAGTCCTAGTGCTTGTCCTTTCCCTCTTCTCTTCCTTTCCCCTATTTCCCTTTCTCTACTGGTCTTCTTTCTAATTTTTTAATTAGTGCTTTATAGATATATCTAAATGTGAAATTCACTATAATATATTCATATATATATATACACACACACACACACACACACACACACACATGGATGGCATGATTTGGTTAGTTTCATTCTGGAGTTTCTCCCTTTTCCCATCCCTCCTCCTTCCCCCTCAATCCTCTTCTTCTGCTTCAGTGATCTCCCTTCTGTTTTCATGGAATAGAACCACCAAATTACCCAGCTATCCCACTCTCTAGTATTTATCCAAAAGAACTAAAGCAAGCCTACTATATTGATACAGGCACATCAGTGTTTATAGCAGCACAGTTTACAATAATCAATTATAGAAACTGCCCAGGTGCCCATCAACAGATAAAGAAAATGTTGAGTTTTACTCAGCAATAAAGAAGAATGAAATTATGGCATTTGCTAGTAAATGGGTGGAACTAGAAGACATCATGCTGAACAAAATAAGCCAGACTCAGAAAGTCAAAGGTTGAATGTTTACTCACATATGCAGAAGCCATTCAAAATAAGGGAAAAAGGCGGGAGGGAATCCCATAGAAGTATAATTTTTCTTTCAGAATTTATATATATATATACATACATACATACATATGTGTGTATATATAATATAAAAATATATGTATGGTAATATATAAGATATAATGAGGTTAACAATGAATACAAATATATGGTGAGTTTCTGAGTGATGATTCTCAGTTTTGCCATTAGGTATTAATTACCTCAAGAGATAGCATGAACTTTTCTGGACTTCATTGTTTGAAATTCATTTTAATAATTAAAACTATACCAAAGATAACGATCTCAGGAGTAAAGGGTATATAAGAAAACCAACTGTGATAAGTTGTCACAACTGTAGAATTATAGTGAATTGTAAAGAATGTTCTCTTTAGGAAGCTTTCTTGTAGAATCCCTGTCAGGTATTTTAAAGGATAACAAGGCTTCCTTGTGTTCCCAGGCTACAAGATCAAGCTGCAGAGACCATTGAAGCTCTGCATGCAGCTGGCCTGAAAGTCTGGGTGCTTACTGGTGACAAGATGGAGACAGCCAAATCCACATGCTATGCCTGCCGTCTTTTCCAAACTGGCACTGAACTCTTAGAACTCACCACAAAAACTATTGAAGAAAGTGAAAGGAAAGAAGATCGATTACATGAATTGTTGATAGAATATCGGAAGAAGTTGCTGCATGAATTTCCTAAAAGTACTAGAAGCCTTAAAAAGTAAGCAAGTACATCAATTTCTTATACTTAGACATTGGTACAGATGTAAAAAACAACTGTTTATGCAGAAGGCTCCATTTTCTATAATTTACCATTCTCTGTTTGCAGGTATTTTTTTCTTTATAAGTTAAAACCTTCCCTGAGGGCTTAGCTAATGGCACATTTGAGGTTACTTGATACTTTACACCTCTCTTTTAAGTTAAAAGAAAACTTCATTTCTCAAGGTTTAAAAAATTACCTCAATTTGTTTTGCGGGGAATTGGTGCGGGGGTTACCAGGGATTGAACCCAGGGCACTTAACCACTGAGCCACATCCCCAGCCCTTTTTTATTTTGAGACAGGGTTATTTAGGGCCTTGCTAAATTGCTGAAGCTGGCTTTGAACTTGTGATCCTCCTGCTTCAGCCTCTCGAGCCACTGGGAGTATAGGCGAGTGCCACCATGCCCAGCAGAAAATTACCTCGATTTCTTGTTAAAATTAAATTTATTTTTAGCTAATACATGAAAAACATAAAATTGTACATATTAGTGGAGTAACTTTACCATATAATGTTTCTTTACCATATGTTCTGCATGTATACATTCTGTAATGTTTAAACCATAGTAAACATACCTCCTCAAACATCATTTCTTAATGGAAAAATTTAAAATCCATATAGCTTTTTGAAATATATACTACGTTATTGTTGTCAATAGTCACCCTGCTGTACAATAGCACATCAGTGTTTTTTTATCCTGTCTAATTGTATTAGAACCCATTGATCATCTTTTCTTTATCCCTTCCACTACCTAATCTCCCTGGCCTCTGGTAACGACTAGTCTGCTCTTACTTTCTAATGAGATTAGCATTTTTAGATTTCACATATGAGCAAGATCATGCTATACTTGTATTTCTGTTCCTGGCTTATTTCACATATTTGTTATTTTTCACTTAACATAACGATCTCAGTTCCATTCATGTTGAACCAAATGACAGGATTCCATTCTTTATAGTAGTATTCCATGTCATATATGTCTCACAGTTTCTTTGTTCTTTCATCAGTTGGAAGACACTTAGGTGTTTCCATTTCTTGGCTGTTAGGAATAGTGTTGCAATGAATAAGTGCAAATGTCTCCTTGTTATACATACTGATTTAATTTCTTTTGTATACATACCCAGTAGTGGGATTACTGGATCATATGGCAGTTCTGTTTTTGATTTTTTAGAAATGTTAAAAATAGTTAAACTTCTAAATGCTTAGGGTCTGGGTATGTAATAAAATCAATCTCTATTACAGTTTCAATGCATTTTGAGGTCCCAGAGCTATTTCTGATGTGGACTCTTATGTCCCAGTATTCCAGAGGGAACCAAATACTTATTAACATGGATGCTTTGATTCTGCTTTCAACTAATTACATACAAAGAACTTATAGAACCTCAGGGCAAGCCAATGATCAACAGTAATTCAATGCCCAGGAGTATATCATCTATACTTCATATTGACCTAGTTTTGTCCTCATCTAACCTAATGACTTGACTTTATCTTGACCATAAGTAAACTTAATTCCTTTTCTGGAGTGCTACCAGATCACCTGCACTAACTGCAGAGTACCTTAGACAATATTACTTTCCATTTCTTGAGCACACTTCATATTCTAGGAACAATATTAAGTGCTTTGTATGATTGTTTTCATTTAATCTTCATTAACAACCCAGTTAGGAAATCTTGTTTTCTTCATTTTATGGATAGGGAAGTGGGCTCAGCAATATGAACTGACTTGCTTATGATCATACCACTAATGAGGGATTGAGCAAGTCTGCCAGCTCCAGAGCCCATGCTTTTAACATCAATACTATATTTCTGTCCTCATCTTTCATGTTTAACCAAACTTGAAAATTAATGGGCCATATTTTAAGGCTATGGATAATAGTAAAACAACTGTTTTTCTTCTGTTACTTAGGTGAGATTAAAAATACTTGTTATTAAATTACCTCTGAGAAATGTTTCCTTTCTTTAACCAAATGGTACTTACAAAGTCATCCCAAAGCCAGGTGCTATGGTGCATGCCTACAATCCCAGCAACTCAGGAGACTGAGGCAAGAGGATCAGCCTCAGCAATTTAGCAAGGCCCTAAGCAAACACAGCAAGACCCTGTCTCAAAAAATAAAAAGGGCTGGGATGTGGCTCAAGGGTTAAGCTCCCCTTGGTTCAATTTCTAGTTAACCAAAAAGTAAAATAAAGTCAGTCCAAATTACATGCATTTTATTTGTCCATTTGTCTTATTTTGCCTGGACTGCCATAGCAATCCATAGACTAGGTGGCTTAAACAACAGAAATTTGTTTCTCACAGTTCTAGAGACTGAAAGACCAAGACCAGAGTACTTCAGAATGGTTGGGTTTTGGTGAGAGTAGTCTTCCTGGCTTGCAGATGTCTTCCTTCTCTTTGCCTCCACATGTGGCAGAGAGTATTAGTGTCTCTTCTTTGTAATACCATCCTGGTGTCCTCACTCTCATAAATTCACATGAACCCAGTTATATCTTATAAGCGCCATCTTCTCATGCTATCACATTTGGAGTTAGGCTTCAACATAAGAATTTTGCTGACACAATTCAATCTATAACAGGCACTAATGCCATTATGAAGGCCCTACCATAGGTTATGACTTTGTCTAAACCTAATCACCTTTCAAAGACCCCCCCAATCTCCAAATACCATTACTTTGAGGATAAGGTTTCAATATATGAATTTTGAAAGGACATAGTTAGTCCATATCTCTGTTGAGCAACTATTTGGTACTTTTTTTTGGGGGGGGGGGCGTGTTTTATACTGGCAGTCAAACCCAGGGCACTTTACTACTGAGATATATCCTCAGTCCTTTTTTTTATATTTTTGAGACATGGTCTTGCTAAATTGATGAGGGTAGGCTGAATTTTAGATCCTCCTGCCTCAGGCTCCTGAAACATTGGTATTACATGCAAGTGCCACCACGCCGGCTCTGTGGTGCTTTTGTAAAAGTCAGGCATTATGGAAAAATTAACAAATCATCACCATTTCAGCTTATTCCCTCTTTCTGGTTATCTGTTTGGGGTTTGGCATGGTCTTGCTCCTAGTTACATAGGCTTCATTTAGATCCAAAATTACCTTTGCTCCTTTACCCTTTCCAGTTCACAGAAATGCTTGGTGGCACACACCTGTAATCCCAGGGATTTAGGAAGCTGAGGCAGAAGGATAGCATATTCAAGACCACATCAGTTCACATCAGCTCCCAAGCCTTATTCAGATTCCAGTCATCACCACTAGTGCTCCAAATCTGAGGACTGGCACTTTACACTTGGAATCTCTTAATCTCCTCTACCAGATGAGTGGTCTTTAAGTAAACTACAGTACACATCATAATCCTACTTTGAAACCTTTTAGTTGTTCTCCATTACTTAATTCAGTTCACACCAAAGCCCTCAAGAGACCTTTAATTCGCTTTCCCAGTGCATCCCAACATACATTTTCTCCCTTCATCTCTTTCTTCCCTGCCTTCAAGTTACAATTTAAATATCATACCTCACAAAGAACCCACTATTCTTTCCTGTGTGTATTTATTTTCCCAAGGATTGGGCATTGACTGTTTATTATCTGGTTATATATGTTCTTCCATGTATGCTTCTGTCACTCCCAAGGAGATTTTCTATTCTCCAAGGAAAGACTAGCCTGTAATTCTTTATTCCTCCAGATAGCATACTTATACTTAGTGTTTACAAATATTCCTTGATTATTGAGCTACTGTTTTCTGCCCAGTAAGACAGCTCTTGTTAAGTAAGCAAAGAGCACATGGTTGTAACCCACTTGAATCAAAGTGTGGAATATGATATGTCAAGAAATTTGTAATGTTTTGAACAACCCACAATAAAAAATTAAAAAATAAAAAATAATAATAATAATAATAAAAATGATAATACCGTAAAAAAATAAAATAAAAAAATAAATTATATTTACAGTATTATAAAGCCAGATAGAGATAAGTACAAATATAGTGTTAGCAGTATACAGCGAAGAAATATGGAAAGGGAATGATGGGGTGTATTTGGCTTTCACTACTCAAAGAAAGGTCCATAGAAAAGAAGCTCTGATGTCACCAGGAAACTTGTTAGAAATGCAAATTTAGGACCTCAGCTCACTAAATCAGAATCTGTGTTTTAACAGGATTCCCAGATGATTTCCTTTGTACATTAAGCTTTTTGAGGAGCATTAGACAATGGAATCTATAACCGAGATCTTGCTGTATCTACTGCTTCCACTGTAGTGATTCTCAAAGGGCACCCAATTCCCTGAGCAAAAACTGAATAACCACTGTTTTGTTCCTGTATTGCAAGGAAAAAAAAAAAGTCTAATTGGTAGGATTTTCTCAGTTGCAAATTTCCCCCATGTAGTTTTCTTTTTTTCCTTTCTTCCTTTCTTTCTTTCTGGAACCCACGGATGCTTTACTACTGAGCCACATCCCGAGCCCTTTTTATTTTTCATTTTGGGACAGGATCTTGCTAAGTTGCAGCCTCCCATATAGCTATATGTATGCACCACCAAACCCAGCCCCCATTTGTTTTCTTAAAAACTTGACACCTTGTTACATTTGTTTTCTTTGGCACTTAGAATACCTCTTAGTCCTGGCCATACATGAGAGCAAACTAGGGAGCTTTTAAAACATAATCAAGCCCCAACCAAAATATTCTCATTTATTTGGTCTAAGGATGGGCCTCAGGTTTGGGCAACTTTTTAAAGTTACACAAATGATTCTAATGGGAAGGCTAGGATTGAGAACCCCTGGTAGTAAAACATGATACTTATTTAAGAAATATTTTATATTATTACATTCTTTAATGAGAACCATGTCTTTTAGATGCTCTGTCATATTTGAGAAGCCATGTTTTATGCATAGGTTTTGTCATTCAGATAAAGATATTAGAGAGAAGTCTTTTATGATTTCTTTACCCTAAAGCCATTTTGTTTTTTCTCAGTCTTTAAGGAGTATCGAATTCACTGATAATTTGTATTCATGTCAGAACTAATGTTATTTTATACTTGTTCAATTCATCTATAATTCCCAAATTCATCTATAATTCCCAAAATTTATCTTGAATTTCTTAAACAGAGGCAGATTGTGAAACCTCCTTTATTTTGTACTTTTTAGAACTTATAGTCAATTATATGAGCAACTTAGGTCTCTGAGGTGTTACTTAAAGTCACTGTTGTGCTATTATTAGAGGCAATTGCTTCTTTGGAATGAATACGTCAAGTAACCAGATTGATGACTCATCTTCTATAGTTAAAAAATCAGTACCCTAAATGCAAAGGTATGATAATTTCAAAAACAACATTGTTTTTCTTTTTCAGAGCATGGACAGAACATCAAGAATATGGATTAATCATCGATGGCTCCACATTGTCACTCATACTAAATTCTAGTCAGGACTCTAGTTCAAATAATTACAAAAGCATTTTCCTACAAATTTGTATGAAGTGCACTGCAGTGCTTTGCTGCCGCATGGCACCATTACAGAAAGCCCAGGTAACTGTGGATATTAATATTCTATTCTGGGTTTCTATATATACATATGTGCAAATGTTTGATCTACTTTTAATTTGCTTCTAATTAAACAAATTAATTAGAAATTTACTTTTAAATCATTTCATTGTTATCATCTAATTTTTTCAACCTTAACTTTTTTCCTTTTGGGGTCAAAATCAAGAAAGATTCTTTCCCCCAAATTGATTTAAACTTTGCTGGACTTCTATGTTGCCTCCATTCCACTGCTCCTTGCTCTCCCCTATGACATTAGCCTCATGCATCCTGTTTCTTTTGCTCTTTTTTGGTACCAGGGGCACTCAACCACTGAGCCATATCCCCAGTCATTTTTTTTTAATTTTTTTTATTTTGAGACAGGGTCTCACTGAGTTGCTTAGGGCCTCACTGAGTTGCTTAGGGCCTCACTGAGTTGCTTAGGGCCTCACTGAGTTGCTTAGGGCCTCACTGAGTTACTGAGGCTGGCTTTAAACTTGGGATCTTCCTGCTTCAGCCTTCCTAGCTATTGAGATCACAGGCATGCGCCCAGCTTCTTCTGCTTTTAATACTCTACTGACTTGCTTGCTGGCAAACCTGACCCAATTTCGTGTGCTGTGTTCATTCTCTTCCTCATTTCTTTACTGCATTTGATACTATCAATTATATCCTCCTCAAAATTCTCCTTCCTTGATTTCTGTGATGGTCCGTAGTCCTGACATTTTCTTCCCTCTTTGGACATCTAGTTTCCTTTGTAGTTTGCTTTATTGTCTATATTCTCCCTGATTATCAGTTGCTTCTAATAAATTCTCCTCTGCTTTTTACTTTATGAACTCTTTTTCTGGATTAGCACTTCTCTGACTCTCCGTGATGTTTTGCTGGTCCTGAGTTTTTCTTGATTTTAATCTATTTCTAGCTGTCTGCTAGACAGCCCCATATGGATTTCCTACCATCACATTAAATTCTAGCGTCTAAGACAGATCTTATGATATTCTTCTTCAGACCAGTTTGTTTTTTACCTTTCCTGTTACCAGTGCCATTTTTCTTTTGCTCCCTAAGTCTCAAAACTACCTTTGATCTTATCTTCTCCCTCTATATAGATGCCATATTCTGTTGATTCTACCTGCTTTTTGTCTTAGTTCTACTTTTCGTGCCATCTTTTGAAACCATTTACTGACAGCCTAGTTCAAACCCTCAAAAGTTTACACATAGACTATTTGATTTTGTGTCCTCACTGGTCTCTTTTGCTTTCACCTTCTTCCTGCAATCTTTCCCTCTATACTCCTATCATGCTCTTTTTTTTCAGACACTTTTAATGTCTGTAGTCCAGACCTTTGGGATTCTACTTTATTTCTTTCATCTGCTTACCAAACCCGTCTTCTTGGAGATGTATCTTTTTCACTCTTAGAATTCTCTACAGCCCAATCATCAATTTTCTTGGCATCTTTTATTTCTTTTTTTATTTTTATTTTTTATTCTAATTTGTTGTATATGACAGCAGAATGCATTACACTTCTTATTACACATATAGAGCACAATTTTTCATATCTCTAGTTGTACACAAAGTAGAATCACACCATTCGTGTCTTCATACATGTACTTAGGGTAACAATGTTCATCTCATTCCACAGTCTTTCCTACCCCCATGCCCCCTTCCTTCTCTTCTCTCCCATTTGCCCTATCTGAAGTTCATCTAATCCTCCCATGCTCCCCCTCCCAACCCCACTATGAATCAGCCTCCTTATGTCAGAGAAAACATTCAGCATTTGGTTTATTGGGATTGGCTAACTTCACTTAGCATTATCTTCTCCAACTTCAGCATCTTTTATTTCTGTGACTAAGTTCATTGTTCTTCCCGGTTTCTAGACTCAGAAACTTGAAATCTGTGTTAATTTCTCCCAGGCTTTACTCTTTTCTTTTTTTAAAGAGTGAGAGAGAATTTTTTAATATTTATTTTTTATTTTTTTCGGTGGACACAACATCTTTGTTTGTATGTGGTACTGAGGATTGAACCCGGGCCGCACACACGCCAGGCGAGCGCTCTACCGCTTGAGCCATATCCCCAGCCCAGGCTTTACTCTTTCATGTGGTGTCAGTTACCAAATTTTCACTTTCTAGTACATTCTCTTTTCCTTCTATTCCTTCCTTTCCATTACCTTCCAAGGCCAGACCTTTAATAGCTCATTAAACTCTACCTATAACTAGTCACCCAACATCTCTCTTTGCCCGTAGTCTTTCTTTCCTTCACTTCCTCCTGTATCCTGCTCCTACTTTCATAATATCACTCCCAGTTGATCTGGCTCCATATACATCTGTCCATATTCTCTATATGAAAACTCATTGATCTATCTGGTCATACCAGATCAATTTTCTGGGCATATACTATACTTACCTGGCTGTTTGCCTTTGGGTATGACATTCCTTTACTCTGCAATGCTTCCTTCTTCCCATCCATGTAAATCTTATTAATACTTCATGATTTAAACCACTCTGTAAAACAGTGCTCAATCATTTTGGCATATAGGGTCCTCTCCATTCTGATATGATAGGCCTTCTTATGTGAACAACTTTAATGACAATGTCATGTATTCTTGCACAGATAGTATATTTCATTATTTAAGTTTTATTTATCTGGTTGCCTAGTACTTATGTTCATGAACAGATCTTTACTTCTTAAATAAATTCTTCTTAAGGTATGTGACCAGGCCTTGTATCTTTTTTGGATCATAGTTTATTTCTTTGAAAAATGTATTATTACATGCAGTTATAGTTGATGGATAAATAGATTTTTGGTGAAATTATTTTTTTGTGAAAGCTATCATAGAGATTTGAAGAGAATCTCTTAATCTGGGTGACCTGGGAATCAGTGAAAAACTCTATGTGTACTTAACTAAATCCTCCCTGATTTTATAGTTCATGACCACATATCCTTTTATCTTTCCATGAAGACAGATTTTAGTCTTTTAATCTAATCTATATTCTCATGCAAAGACTGTCATCCTTTATAATTTTATTGCCCTTTTGGAGACCTTCCCTGGCTGCAGTTTTTAATCCCTGAGGTGCAAATCATTGCTGTGCATAGTGTAAAAGGTACAATGAGTTAACCATTATTGTAGCCCATCAAAAATAAATTTAGTTTGGGTTTTGAAAAGTTTGTCCTTGACACTTTTACTTACAGATTATTTCTAATAGTCTTTCAAAAAGTTTTTAAGAAGAACCATAGAGAGGCAAGGGGTTAGGAGAAAGTTGGCGTTTTAGGTAACATAATTTTTGTGTTAGATGGAGTTGAGTATATGGGTGGGGCAGTTTGTGCTGTTCAATACTACTAAAACCTGACTGGATCTTCTTTAAAAGACTGTGGGGTGTCTTAGCCTCATATAAATTATTTATAATCATGTCAGTTATGTTGAAATGGATTTTATTTATGTTAGCTAGTCAGAACAATTGTGAATAAAGGATTTTTGTAAAGCATTTTTTAGTTACTGAATTATTTAAGCATTTTTAAGGCTGCTAACTTCCAAGGAGTTTTGTGAATTGACTTAATGAGTAGAGATTAAAACCTAGAGGGGTAGGGCAGCTGCTTACCCAGTACACTTTCCACAAGTAACAGCAGGAGAAGGTTTTGGAGCAGCCCAAAACAGAAGTGTTTTAACACCAGGGATGAACATTTTATTCAACACCATCCATGAAAGCGACACTGAGCTACACAGTATTATTTTCACAGCTAGAAGATATACACAGGGAATAGTGACAGACTGTACTGTATATCTTGGGCACTTTTCTGCAAATCTCACCTCCTTTAAGATGCCCCTTTTAAAATGTAACTACCTATAGGGAGAGGGCAAACCAGTGGAAGATTTTAGTGAAGTTTAGTTGGCAGCTAGATGGGTACAAGAATTTTATACAAATTCCTGGGAATAAGTGTTAGGATGCTACTAGGGGAGATAGGAGTGTCACCAGGAAGGAGAGAGTAAGACATAACCATAACATTGTTCTCTGACTTTCCACTTTTGTTCTGCTGGCCTTATATAAATTACTCTAAATTAGCTTTCTGACCTAATGATCTGAAAAGACATATGAATAATGGTAAAAAGAGGGAAACACGTTTACCTCTAATCTGCATAGAAGGCAAAAGTTTCTGAGAGTCCATGTATGCACAGAACCAAAAATCAGGTGGGTGCCAGTGTTACGTTTTGAGTCACTATATTCTGCATGTGGGAATTCAAAATGTGTGTGTTTGCATATGTATGTGTGTGCGCGTGTGCAGGCGTGCGCACCTGCACACACACACACACACTACCTTTCTGTTAGCAAAGCCTCCATTTGCAAGTGTGAATTAAGCATAAAACCCCTAATATATTCCATTCTAACATTCTGCTTTGATCTTTTCTATGTCTCTTTTGAAATTGTTTAGATTGTCAGAATGGTGAAGAATTTAAAAGGCAGCCCAATAACACTGTCAATTGGTGATGGTGCCAATGATGTTAGCATGATCTTGGAATCCCATGTGGGAATAGGTAAGAAACATCTAATGAGATGGTATCAGTATTGCTTTTAGGTACAATTTTCTTACATTCTAGAAAGATTGTTTTAGTTATTCATCTTGAATTTGAGAATGATAATCATTAATAGAATGAAGGGCCTCATCTGATCAAGGTCCCACCTCTTGTGGGAAGGTGGCAAAACAAAGTTACAGGATATTTTTGTATTAGCCAAGTAAATTGAATTTCCCAAACCTACTGGCAATACAATAGATTGTTTAGCTCTCATTTTGACAGCATGCATGAAATTTTATTGATTTCCTGCCCCTGACAAGACTGCCTGTTTATGTTGCTGCACTATATCTTCTGAGATTATTGACTTTTGGAGGCTAAGAAATTATCATTGTTTGGCTCATATTTTGTATAGTAGTATTTATGGGTGGTTTGGGTTATAGTGTTGAATAGTGTTGAATTTATATGTCGACATGTAACAACAGCTTTTCTACCTACCTGTACCATTTTTTTCCTTGTCAGGTTGCTCTTAGGCAATGCACCTAACACCCTGACCTTTTTTATTTTTTGGCAAAAGGTTTGAGGTACATGTGTAATTAGTATCTTAGGAATTGCTTTACCGCAGTTTAGTTTCCCAAATTCTTCTTCCCATTTGGAAGTAGACATGCTTAATATGGAAATCTTAAATTCTGTTCATTGATTATCCAATATAGAAATTGTCTAAAGGGGCTGGGGATGTGGCTCAAGCGGTAGCGCGCTCGCCTGGCATGTGCGGGGCGCTGGGTTTGATCCTCAGCCCCACATAAAAATAAAAAATAAAATAAAGATGTTGTGTCCACTTTTTTTTTGGTGATGCTGGGGATTAAACCCAGGGCCTTGTGCATGCAAGGCAAGCACTCTACCAAGTGCGCTATATCCCCAGCCTATCTAAAATTTCTTGAGGTTTTATAGACTTCTTCGGTAGCTTGTCAGTATTTCATGAAGAATTTTATCTTCTAATTGAGCATCTAAACCACACTACAAAATCCAGGTCTTTGAGTTGCCTTAATATATAGCACCTAGTTTAATGTCATGAACAATCAAGCACTTACTGAGTGACTTAAAAATAATTTTCAGGTGGACTTTTTTCTTTCAGATAATTTTTGGCCTTGCAAAAATTGAAATAATGATTGTTTTTGTTTCATGCTGTATTACAAATTGATAGTTTCCAATTAAATTTAGTGATAATTTTATTTGGTAACTCTCAGTATCACAGTTAAAGAAAGCCCTTTTTAGTTAAAAAAGAAAAGATAAACTATACAATTGATCTATAACATTTCAACAATTAGAAAATGTGAAAATAGATCACAGGATTGCTTATTCTTTGAAATACTCACACTATATATTCTCTTTTTAGGTATTAAAGGCAAAGAAGGCCGCCAAGCAGCCCGGAACAGTGATTATTCTGTACCCAAGTTTAAACATTTAAAGAAACTATTATTGGCTCACGGACATCTATACTATGTGAGAATAGCACATCTTGTACAGTATTTCTTCTATAAGGTATGTGATAAAGTATTTGTAATTTAATAATTGTTTAATCTAGCATGGGCTTAGCTTAGTCACGGTTTTGTTCCCCCATTTTTATGTTTCTTTTGCTTTTCTGATACTGAAATTTGTACACAGTGAAGCAAAGGTTGTCTATTTAATGAATCCAAAACAAGATATTCCATTAGATATAAGAGATTTGAAATTAATTTTTTAAATTATTTTTATTGGCAAATTAAGTATAATAAAGTTTACCTATTAAATGTATATAGTTTTGACAAATGTATACATCCATGCAACTATTACCCCAATAAAAAAATAGACATTCCCATTTCCCCCAAAAGTTCTCATGTGCTCTCTCTCAGTGTCCTCTATCCCTCCCCCAACAAGTAAACTGACTTATATTATTATACCATACATATTAATATGTATGATATAGAACCTGTAGATATAGATGTAAAATATATCTAATAATATTAATAATATTATGCACACTAGTTTTGCCTCTGGGGCTTGATATAAATGGAATATTTGTATATTTTTGTGTCTGGCCTGTTTTACTTAGTATGTTTTTGAGCTTCATGTATTAATAGTTAGTTCCCTTTTATGCTAAGTAGTATTTCAAACTACACTTTTTAATAGCAGAATCCTCATGTGAAATTACACACATAAAGCAGACTGAAGCAGGACTACATTGAATGAAGGAGGTTGGGCCAGGACAATTCCTTATTCAGCTCCCCTGTCCTGTCCTAAAGGTTCCTCAGAATATAGAATCAATGAATTTAGTTTAAGTCACTTATTTTATGCATAACGAACTTGGCATGCATGAAGATGAAACAGTTAAAGTAAGCAAATAATTGTCATTTATATGGACCAGAATTTGATGTCCTGTTCTGTGTTCTATGCAATAGGATTTTAATTTTTTTTACCTTTTTTTAAAATAATTTTCGACTCTTAAAAAAGTTGCAAAACAAGATACTCACGTATTCTGCCCAGCTTTGTCAACTGTTATTGCCTTAGACAAACCCACAACAGTTATCAAAATCAACAATTTGATTTAATTAGCACATAATTATTAGCAAGTCTATATACTGTAATCAGTTTCCATTAATGTCCTTTTTGTAATCTATTTCTTTTTAGGATCACCCTTTCATTTAAGCTATTATGTCTCCTTAAGCTTCTGTAATTTAGAGCAGTTCCTGTCTTTGTCTTTATGATTTTAACATTTTTGAAAAGTACCAGCCATTTAATTTAGTTTGTAGGCTGTCTCTCTACTTGGACTTGTTTAACATCTGCTTATTATTAAATTCAGGTTATACATTTTTGGTATAACCTCTACAGAAGTTGGGCTGGGGTTGTGGCTCAGTGGTAGAACGCTTGCCTAGCATGTGTGAGGCATTGGGTTTAATTCTCAGCACCATATATAAATAAAGTCCATTGACAGCTAAAGAAAAAAATTTTAAAAAACACTACAAAAGTCATATTATGACCTTTTTATTACGAGACACATGTTGTCAATATGTCTCCTTACTGTTGATGTTAAGTTTGATAACTTGATTCAAATAAAGTTTTGGAAGGTTTCAAGATCCCTCAACCTTGCTTTGTAAAATGTCATTTGAAAATATGATTCTGCTACTAAATCAACTATTTTATTCTATGAATTAAATTTCATTCTCATCATTTGTTTTGTTACTCAAATTGACTCATATTTGACCATTGGGAGGAGTGTGGTCCTTCCAGCATAGCCTCATAATTTTTTGAAGATGTCTTTGTTTTCTAGTTCTACATACTATTCCAGGTTCATCTTGTATTTTTCCTGCCCCAGCCCTGGATTCAGACTTTTCTTCAGGGAACACTGATTTCTTTTATTTGCAAATAGTATTTAGAAAGTTAAATTTCAGTGCTAGTTATATTCATTACAACTGAGCTAAACCTTGGTTTTATGCCTTCTCAGTGAACAGAACTAGGAAATACATAGAGACAAAAAAACTATTTATATCTGTATATATATGTGTGTGTGTGTACATATGCATATATGTTGGACCAGAATCAAAAGTACCAATATGAATCAGTGTATGAATTCAGTTCATACTAATACCTTTGATACCAGAACCACAGAGTTCATTCTAGATATTCTCCCTCTCCCCACCACTCTTCTCCTCCCCTACCTCCATCCTTTTTTTGCTTTTTATTTTGAGACAAGATGTCACTAATTTTCTACAGCTGGCCTCAAACTTGCAATCCTCCTGTCTCAGCCTCCTGAGTTGCTGGAATTATAGGCATGTGCACCACACCCAGCAGTTTCTCACCTTTTAAACAGCATCTCCCCAGCCCACCTAACCCCCATCCCCTAGGAACCACCATTCTACTCTCTGCATTTTTAGGTTCTACATATAAGTGAGATCATGCAGTATTTTTTTTTTACCTGTATCTGATTTTTTTTCACTTGACATAATGTCCTCTGGGTTCTCCATGTTGTCATACATGTTGGTGCATTTCTTTTTAGCCTTAAAATATGTATATCAAAATACTATTTAGAAAATAGTTTCTTTTTTGAACATTTACACATTGTTAGTGTGATTGTAAATTAGTACAACCACCTTGAAAATCTGTATGGAGATTCCTCAATAGACTGAGAATGGACCCAGTATAAGACCCACTTACTCTACTCTTTGGTATTTATCCAAAAGAACTAAGATCAGCATACTATAGTGATACAGTCACACAGTGTTCATAGCAGCACAATAGCCAAGTTATGGAATCAGCCCCAGTGCTTGTCAGCAGATGAATGGATAAAGAAAATGTGGTAAATATATACAATGGAGTTTTTCTCAGCAAAAAGAAAAATGAAATTATGTCACTTGCAAAAAAACTGGATAGAACTGGAGAACATTATGCTAAGTGAAATAAGCCAGACTCAGAAAGTCTGGCTTATTTCACTTAGCATAAGAGTTGTTTGTTTTCTCTCATATATAGAAGCCAGAAAGAAAAGGATGAAAGAAAGGGATTTCATGAAAATAGAAGGGAGACCAGTAGGCAGAGGGTGGGGATTAAGAAAGGGAGGAAAGGAAAGAAAGGGGAAGAACTAGGAAATGAAGTTAACCAAGTTATGCTATATGCATGTGCAAATATTTTACAATGAAGCCTGCTATTATATAAAATTATAATTCATCCATAAAAAATTAAAAATAAAGCTTCCCTTTTTTCTCTTTTCTACCACTACAGTGTGGTTAGTTTATTTCCATTACAATCAAGTTCATTGTTAATAGGAATTTGTTGTTCACTTCTTTCTTTTGTTTTTATTTAAGATGGGTCAGACCAAGTTTCCCAGGCTGGCCTCAAACATAATTTAGCATATGTAGAAAGTGGGGCTTAGTGTATATCTACTATAGATTTATTTAAGTCTAGGACTCCTTCTACATCATAGTTAGGATGTATTGGGCCTTGCACTCAATAATTAATAGCCTCACATTATTTTCTCTTAACCTCCCCCTAGTAGGAGGCCCTGTTAAAATTTGTCATGCAGATCTGCCTAGTAATCTGATCCTATTCCAGAAAATTGGTTTGCCTCTAGGATTTTGGCTTGCAATTCAAATAACTGCCACCAGATGGAAGGAATGCTCTGTTAAGGGAAATAAAACAAGAATTAGCTTGGCAAATGTTGGCCAGTGATCAGAAATTGACACATCCCTGTTGCCAACATAGGGGATTGATGATTATTTTTGTAGATAATGCCCTCTGCCTTCATTTGTATTTGTATGTCCATTATCATCTTGGTTACTGACAGCACTATTTATTTTATATTGCAGTCTTTTATCCCAAGGGGTTTCTAATATTTTCAACCCTCTTTGGTGAAATCAGATATTTACTTCCTCTTTTCTTATTACATCTTCAAATTGTCCTGGTGTATCCTAGAGTACTTCAATAATATGTCTTCCTGCCTTCTGTTTTCCCATTAAATTCTCACATAATCCAACCAAAGTTTAGAAAATTCTACTCTTCATCTTGTCCCTCAGAAACTTTACTTTTGTTTTGTGTTAGTCTGTCTTTTAAGGCACTCCCCCATCTGACCCTTTCTTACCATTTATACTTAAAATACATACTGTCTTGCCGTTTCTTGCCATCTATGTATCTTTTTAAATATTTATTTTTTAGTTGTAGTTGGACACAGTACCTTTATTTTATTTATTTTTACGTGGTGCTAGTGCTGAGGATTGAACCCAGAGCCTTGCATGTGCTAAGTGAGTGCTCTACCGCTGAGCTATAACCCCAGCCCCCTACATATCTTATTTATCTTTAAGACCTAGTTCAAATTCTAACTTCTTTATTCTATCCATCAACAAATATATTTTGAATGTATTTCTATGTGCCAAACACTGTTTTAGGCCCTGGGAATTCACCATGGAGTAAGACAGGCAATGTCCCTATTCTCATGGAGTTTACATTCTGGTGGGGGAGGCAGAGTCCTCCTCATGAAGACCCCCCCCCCCCCCCCGCTCTGCTGATCCCCACTCAACTTTAATTCATCCAAACTCAGATAACTTTAAATTTTCATAAAGTATGACTCTGGAAATGCTGCTGGCAGTATTTTGCATTGTGTTAGAACTGATACATACTAATGAGTATTGCTTTTCCAGATGATGACATTGTGGGCTATGACATTTATTCTCATGCTGCAGGGATGATCCAAAACATGTAGATCATGTTTCTTTAGGTATATCCTCTAGAACCTGTAGTATATTTATCTAAATCACCTCATTGTGGCAGAAGCTTGTTCATTGAGGATACATTTCATCTTTCAAAACAGCCTCAAGTCTCCCAGAGCTAATCTGGTGAATTAACTACTGATAATATGTACCAGAAGAAATGGCACTGATTTTCTGACATGGTTCAAAAATGGCTCTTAAGCCAGGCGCAGTGGTGCACGCCTGTAATCCCAGAGGCTTGGGAAGCTGAGGCAGGAGGATCTCAAGTTCAAAACTAGCCTCAGCAAAAGCAAGGCACTAAGCAACTCAGTGAGATCCTGTCTCTAAATAAAATACAAAATAGGGCTAGGGATGTGGCTCAGTGGTCAATTGCCTTTGCCCCTGACTTCAATCCCCAGTATTCCCCACAAAAAAGGCTCTTAAAAGTGCTTCCCAAAGAAGAAGTTCAGAGATGTGGTGAACTAGTGACAGTAGCACATAAATAAGTTTACTGCCTACTTTGAAAGATAGCAGTCTTTTTGGTCAAAAGTCTGGAGCTTTTGACCAAAGACATTAATTCCAGTGTTTTATAGTCATACTTGGTACCTTTTAACTGCCTTATAAATTCCCAGTGTGCATCTGTATGTTTTAATTCTTCCAGTTAAATGATAAGTCCCTTAGGAGAGAAAAGTTTACTTTTTTAAAAATATTTTTTTTTAGTTGTTGATGGACCTTTATTCTATTTATTTATATGTGGTGCTGAGAATCAAACCCAGTGCCTCACACATACTAAGTAAGCGCTCTGCCACTGAGCCACAACCCAAGCCCAAGAAGCATTTAGTAGGTTCTCAACAACCCTATGTCAATTGATGAGGGAGTAATAGAGGCAGGGTAAAGCATTAGTTGATAACTGTTAGTGTCAGTATAATCTACAACAATTTCTTAACTATTTATTGGTATTAACTTTAAAATATACATGTATTATTATATAAGTCTGCGGTGATTCTTAAATTGGTATTTGGGTATAGTATCATTAAGTGTTCATATTGGATGAGCTCATTTCTTCCTTGGAAGGAGACTAGGAAGAGATTCTCATAAAGTAAGTTTGATGGGGGACAGACGTTTGTCTTAATCTGACTTCATCTTTTGTTTTGGTTTCCTAGGGCTGGGGGTTTAGCTCAGTGGTAGAGTACTTACCTCCCATGTACAAGGCCCTGGGTTCAATCCCCAGTACGACACGAAAAAAGTTTTTAGTTTCTTTACATCACTGACAAACTGCAAAGGTGTAAGGTTTTATATGATGAAAGCCTGTAACATTTCAGAACCACTGGAACACATTTTATACATTGATACAAAGGAAAAAAAATCAAAATACTTTTTTTTGCTAGAGCAGTATAGTAGTAGTTGTGTTTATTCCAATAAATCAAAATGCTCTTTTAAAATGCTTTTTTCAACTCTGACAGGATGTACCAAATATCTTTTATAAAAAATACTACAATGACGCAGCCACATCAGTGAATTGTCTTTGGTCTACTTAGATTACCTAATAGCTTAGATTTCCACAGGAGTTGATATTTAGCTCCCTCCTCATTCACTGAGCTTGTAGGTTCATTCATTTGACATTAGAAGGATTTGAGAATAACTATAAACCATTGGGGTGCAGTTTCCTGCTTTCGTATAGAAAGTTGGTCAAATGATAATATTAACCCTTGTTTTAATTTTTTTTCCAGAACCTTTGTTTCATTTTGCCACAGTTTTTGTACCAGTTCTTCTGTGGATTCTCACAACAGGTTTGTGTCTTGTGTTGTTTATTATAATATAGTTTACATTTACTGTTAGTATGTTACCTTTTAGGTATTAGATTAGAAGCATTAGAGAGGTGTGTCCAAAGTAAAAAGATTTCTTTTTGGATTCAAAAGTTGATCCCCTTGACCTGGTTTTATACTAACAAATCATTTTGCTAACTTTCTTTCTTTTTTTCTTTCTTTTTTAAGTATTTAAATCAGTGTTATTGGAGGTTATTTATTATGGGTACAACTATAAAATATTCCCACTTCAGTGCATTTTTCCTTGATTGATGAGAATGTATTGATGTATATACCACAAAAAGGTTTCCCTATTCCTCTCTCTAGTCCTCCTACCCAAATACCTTGGATTTACATTCTTTCACTATAGACCTATATTCTAGAATTTCATATGAATGAATTCTTTTTTAAAAAAATATTTTTTTTAGTTATGGATGGACAGAATGTTTATTTTTATGTGGTGCCGAGGTTTCAACTCAGTGCCTCACGTGTGCTAGGCAAGTGCTCTACCACTGAGTTAAAACCCCAGCCCCATAATGGATTCTTACAATCTTCAGTGTCTGACTTCTTTTGCTCAACCTGTATTTATACTCTTTCATGTTATTGTGTGAATTGTTGCTGAGAAGTACTCTACTGGATTGACATACCGTATTTCATTTCACCTGTTCTATGACATTTGGGTTTTTCTTTTTATCTGTTCTTATTAGTTATACATGATAGTGGAATATATTTTGACATTATACATATATGGAGTATAACATCTCATTCTTCTGGTTGTACATGGTGTAGAATTACATTGGTCATGTAATAATATATGCACATAGGATAATAGTGTGCAATTCATTCTATTATCTTTCCTATTTGTATTACCCCTCCCTTTCTTTCATTCCCCTTTGTCTAATCCAAAGTACTTCTATTCTTCCCTTATCCACCCCTGCTTATTGTGAGTTAGCATCTGCATATCATCTGACCTTTGGTTTTGGGGGATTGTCTTATTTCACTTAGCATGATATTCTCCAGTTCTATACATTTATTGGCAAATGCCATAATCTCATTCTTTTTTATGGCTGAGTAATATTCCATTGTGTATATATACCACAGTTTCTTTATCTATTCATCTGTTGAAGGGCACCTTGGTTGCTTCCATAGTTTAGCTATTGTGAATTGAGCTGCTAATAAACACTGATGTGGCTGCATCATTGCAGAATTTTTTATAAAAGATATTTGATACATCCTGTCAGAGTTGAAAAAAGCATTTTAAAAGAGCATCTTGATTTATTGGAATAACTATATTGCTCTTGTAAAAAAAAGTATTTTTTTCCTTTGTATCAATGTATAAAATGTGTTCCAGTGGTTCTGAAATGTTATAGGCTTTCATCATATAAAACCTTACACCTTTGCAGTTTCTCAGGTTGGTTTTATTTAATAGAAGAACATTGATTTTGAAGCTGGTCTGAAAGCTGTGATTCTTATATAAAGCCTTAAATTACTGAAATCAACTGTAAATGTTTTTCCTTCTTGTTTTCTGAACAGTTATTACATAAAAATACATGCTACATATTACTTGGACACAAGTGGTGGGGTGGAAAGGCACCTTTGTTTTAATAACTGAAATGGATTTTACATTGCTTCCAGTGGCAGTATAGCCAAATACAGGGATTTAGTAACTCCAAAATTTGTGCACTTCAATGATTTTTCCATGCTGGTTACCACTTTTTCATGGGTATTAAAGACTGAGTTTCTAAATTTCAAAAGCAAGCTTCCTTTCTTTCTTTCTTTCCTTTTTTTTTTTTTTTTTTTTTTGGTTGCTCACAGTAAAAGTAATGTTTTTCTTATTCATTGGCAGTATTTTTAAGAGAATGCATTCCTGGTATGCTGTCTGTGACATCAGTGCCATGTCATTAGCATGGTAGTACCAGTAAAGTAGATCATGTTATAAACTAAGCATCTTTCAGTTGTAGGAAGTGCTGTAAGCCTTCTTATATTAAAAACTAATATAATTAGTTAAGATAGTTTTACAAATTCTTTAATTTGCTTTTCTTGAATGTTCATATTTCTATTAATCAAAATACTGCTAATTGCTGCTCACTTCCTTAGATGGGTGCAGGTATTAAAAAAATATTTCAAATTTCCTTTCTTAACTACTTTTAGCAGACTTAAAATTTGTTTGATCTTGTGGTTTTTTTGTTTGTTTTTATTTTGAAAGGGGTCTTGTTTTATTACCTTTTTAAAACATGCTTACCAAGTACAAGTTGTATGAAGAAAGAAAGGACTGTTAATTAAAGTCAACTGAAATTCAGACCCTGGATTGTCTTTGGTCTGCTTAGATTACCTAATAGCTTAGATTTCCACAGGAGTTGATATTTAGCTCCCTCCTCATTCACTGAGCTTGTGGGTTCATTTATTTGACAAATATTTCTTGAATCCCTGCTTTGTGCTAGGCTAAGTGCTGAGGATATAGCAGTGATTAGACAAAACTCCCTTATCTTCCTGGAAATTGCAGTGTAGTAATGGAGGAAAGATGTAACAATCAAATATATGATGTGGAATATTGATAAGTGCTGATAGAAAGCGTGCAACTAGGGGAAAGGACTGCTGCTTTATAGAAGATCATCTGGAAAGTTGTCTATAAGGAGGTAGCATTTGGGTAGAGATCCGAGCAGCTGAGGGGAGGAACTGTGCAGATGTCTTTGAGGAAAAGTGTACAGGTAAAAGGAAGGTCTGAGGAGGTGACATGAAGTGTGAAATCATTATTTTTGATTTTGGCCTTGTGCTAGTGCTGAAAATAGCAGCCTTTATTGTAAGTATCTTTGGACACTTACAAAGTATCTTTTGGACACATGGGTGGTCAGCTTTTTTCAATCCAGAGCCACATGAAATGTTCTCTGAAACTTGGAGAGCAGGCTATGAAGAATGCAGAAATGTGTCCAGGGTTCCTGTTCTTTAAGCAAAAGCCTCTCTTTCTTTAGAAAAACTAAGATAGTACTTGTCTTTTTTTTTTCTTCCATGAAAAGGAAACATTTCTAACAGGTTTAACAAGAAACAGTATTATCAACTAAACCTGTTTGTTTTGGGGACATTCTATCTCCTCTAATTACTGCATCTAAGAATTGCAATTATCTCTCATGTTACCTTAAAGCACCATAATAAAACAAAAGTAGATTGATGCTTCTTTTGTTTGAATGAAATGTAAGACTAAATTACACACCAGTCAATCTGAATTGTTGTTGTTTTCATTTACTCATTAGTGAAAATGGGTAGTTTCCAAAACAAATATAGTGTTGGTGCTCCAGACTAGTCCTCACACTTGATAATTAATAGGAATGTAACACCTTTTATGTACTTTTTAATCCACTGGAATATTTTTGCTGAGCTTCAATCTTTGTTTATGGAATCTGAGAAGTACCTGGTCTACATAGTACCTGGTCTACATACATATGGTCTATGTGGAGCCATTTTTTTAAAATTTCATTGAGAATGTTGTACTGATTATCTCTTGGTTTTTCTCAGTTGCAGGCCAGTAGCTCCTTTGGGTTTGGTAGCTACTTGTGCATCCCCCATTCTGCCTCCCTCTCTTGAACTCTTTGGTGGATAGGGATGGATCATCTCTGTCCTGGTATTTGGTACTTAGTAGGCATTCAATAAGTGTTCTGAAGTCATCTCATGAATAAACTAAAGCTCTATTCGAGTTGTTGTCAACCTTTTTGAGTCAATCTCCATTTTAATAGTAATCGTATCTTTATTAATTAAAATACATAATTGTTGGGCTGGGGTTGTGGCTCAGCGGTAGAGCGTTCACTTTGCATGCACGAGGCTCTGGGTTCAATCCTCAGCATCACATAAAAATAAATAAGTGAAATAAAGATATTGTGTCCAACTATAACTAAAAATAAATATTAAAAAATACATAATTGTATTCATTGGTGTCATGTTTAAATGCATTTTATTAATCAAACTACATTTATATGTGTGAAAAATACATATGAGATGGGTTGCTTTTTATTTAGGCCACAGAAAATAGTTATATGGCAATATCTAGCACTGTAGATATGGAACTCAATAAATACTTTCATAAAAATGTTCATAAAATACCTTACTTTTTTCAATAAAAGAAGATTTATAATATCAGATCAGTTCTTTACAAATGTGTCATAGCTCTCAGTTTGTACCCCTTCACTCATCCAATATTTATTGAATGTTTCCTATATGCCAAGTTTTGTTTTGGGAGCTGAAGATTGTCAAAGCACACAGCCAAAGACCACCAGGAGCATATTTGTAATTGATCAAATTAGGTTTTATTACTCAGTGCAGGGAGGAAGAACACACACCAGAGGAACTATAGGGCTTCTCAGGAAGAGGGTGTTAGAAATGGTTTATTGTCGGATTCAACCTTATAAAATATTAACCAAAAAAAAAAAAAAACCTGTGACACAGGCTAGTGCTACTACCTGTATTTAGTTTCTCTAAGGACTTATTTAGTCTTTGCTGAAATAGCTACTGAATACCTGTAATTTTAGCAAGTGAAAAATTATTAATGTCTAGTAGAAATAGAGCTTATAACATATAAACATTCTGAATCAGATCCTAATGAGGGGAAGATATCATATTAATACAACAAATCACAAAGTATTAGTTTATTTTTTACAATTACCAGTTAAGGACCTTATTTCCACAGTTTCCTTTGCTGTCCCAAAAATCATGAAAGGAAACTGTCTTGTTTTTAGTTAGTGATTTTTCCAAAGTAATAAGTATGATCTTATAGATAATTGTTATAGTATGTTTCTTTTCTGTAATATTTGTCATTTCAGCCACTGTATGATGCTACTTATCTTACAATGTACAATATCTGCTTCACATCCCTTCCTATTCTGGCCTACAGTCTCCTGGAACAGCACATCAACATTGACACTCTGACCGCAGACCCGCGATTGTATATGTAAGTTGAAGATATAGCTAAAACCCCCTCAGACTTTCTAAGTTGTGGGTTTCATTCAATTTGCAGGTTGGATAGACAGAACTGTTCATGTGGTTTGATTACGTGGTTCTGTTTTGAATTCTAGTGATGAAACTAGATTGTTCAACAGGAAAACAACATATTTCCTATGTGTAGGTCCTATGCTTGAGTGCATGTGAAGCATACTTTTAATCTGGAATCACTAATTCCTGTTGTTTGAGCCTATATTGTCATAGCATCCCCAGAGCCTTATAGAAAGACACAATATTTTAATTTTTACCTGCCCAAAGAAAAGCACACAAAGATTTTTGGTAGTTCAGAATACCAATTCCAACATTTAGTAGATTGACCTGAGGTTATATTACCCTTTCTCTTATAAACTGCATATAAAATGTTAACTGCCACTCTTCATTAGCTACATTTTAAAACTGTTTTGTGGAAAGAAATAGTTAACTCATGAAGCCTTTATATTCTTTCTGTGTCAGTTGGAAATGGATGCTTTTCTGTATGAATGGGGAGCTTGGCGCTTGCCCCAGTTGTTTAACCTGTGATTTAATTGGATTTTTAGGAATTAAGCCTACAGCTTAAGATAAAGATGTTAATTTACAGCAGATTATAAACATTGCTAAATAATGGATACCAAGTGCAGTAGAGAGACTTAGGTGGTTTATTTGTATGAAATGAAAATGCAAATTTAAGAGATTTCTTTAAACATTATGACTCATAAAATTTATAATTTATTAATTGTTAGAATTACATGATTTATAATTTTAAAAGTATTAAGGAACAATTCAAATATATACAAAAGTATGCAGAACTCTGTTTTATACATCAGACATAAAAATCGTACATACTAATTGCTATTTCTCACATGCATATACTATATAATGTTTAAATCAGGCTAAAGATATCTGTCCCCTCAATTACCTATCATTTTTTTCATGGTAAAAACATGCAATATTCTTTCTTCTAGTGTTTTTTGACATATACAATGCATAGGTGTTATCTATAGTCACCCTACTATGTAATAACACACCAGAGATTCTTACTGTTATTACATTATAACTTAGGCATTGATTAACCACCTTTCTATATCCTTCCCTTCCCCCTCTTCTCTCTAGCCTCTGGTAAGCATCATTTAACTCTCAACTTCTATGAGATCAACTTTTTTCCACATATTAGTGAGATCATATGGTGCTTGCCTTTCTGTGCCTGGCTTATAATCACATCCACTTTCATCTATGTTATCACAAATGACAGGATTTTATTCTTTTTATGGATGAGTATTAAATCATGTATATGTACCACATTCTCTTTATGCATTCATCCCTTGATGGACATTTACATTGATTCCAAATCTTGGCAATTGTGAATAGTGGTGCAGTAAACATGGTAGTGCAGATATCTCTTCAACATACCAATTTTATTTCCTTTGGATATATACCCAGGAGTGGGATTACTGGATCATTTAGTGGTTCTATTTTTATTTTTTTGAAGAAACTTCATTTTGTTTTTCATAATAGCTCTACTAATATGCTTTCCTACCAAACATGTGCAAGGATTCACTTTTCTCCACATCCTCACCAGCACTTGTTATTTATTTATTTATTTATTTTGATGGCAGCCATTCTCGCTGGAGTGAGGTGGTATCTTTATAGTTTTGATTTGCATTTCCCTGATGGCTGGTGATGTTGAGCATTTTTCATATACCTGTTGGCTTGTATGTCTTCTTTTGAGAAATCTCTGTTTAGATCTGTTGCTAAATCAGGTTACTTGGGTTGTTTTGTTCTATCTTTGCTATTGAGTTTTTGGAGTTTCTTATATTTTCTGAATATAAATCCCTTGTCACATGTATAATTTGTAAATATTTTCTCCCATTTCATGGGATGTCTCTGCACTGTGTTATTTCCTTTGCTGTGCAGAAGTATTTTTATTTTGTTTCAATCCCATTTGTTTATTTTTGCTTTTGTTTCCTATGCTTTTTAGGTCTTGTACCAAAAAAAAAAAAAAAAAAAAATCGTCATCCTTTCCAATGTCCTAAAGCATTTACCCTATGGAGAGTGATATTATATAATGAACTTCCCTGACCTTACCATTCACTTTCAATAGCTGTCAATTTATCAATAAGCCTATTCCACTAATAACCTCTTATCTATTCTATCCCAGGTTTATTTTGAAGCAAATATTATATAAAGGTTATTTTAGTATGTATCTCATAAAGATAAGGACTTAAAATAACAATACCTTATCACTTAAATTTAAGCGCTTAATATCAAATATCCAGTCATTCAAATTTATTCAGTTGGCTCATTTTTTTAACACTATTCTTATTTGAATCAGGTCCAAATAAGTTCCACACATTGCAATTGTTAATATGCTTCTTGAATCTCTCTAAATCTGTAGGTTAACCTCATAATTTGTTGACAAAATCAGATCCTTTATGTTGTAAAGTTCTGCCAATCTAGAGTTTGCTGATTGCATCTTAACAGCATTGTTTAATTGTTCTGCTGATTCCTGTATTTGTTGTAAATGGATGATTAGATCTAGAGGGGAATGGTAGAAACCTTGCTGAAGGTCTAGGGACTTATCTCATGGTGGAGCACACACCTAGCCTGCGTGAGGTAGATCTCCAGTACCACAAAAGGAAAAAAGGAACCTTGATATATAGAGTTCAACTATCACACCCTCAGAAAATGAGGAACGTTGGCCCAGAAATGACTTTCCTAAGGACACAGGTATAACCAGAGGTAAAATGAAGATCAAAATTCAGTCCTGATGACCAGCCCTTTGTTCTTTCCAACAGGCCAGAGGTTTTCAAACATTGTTTGAACTACAGTTGTCTTCAATCACTAGAGTGAAATCCAGTAGTGTACCCATTTCTGATTGAAGTAGGATTTGGATGCAGTGAACAGAATCCCTCCCATTCAGTGCCACTCAGAACTCAGGTTAATAACCTGGGCTCAAATCCTGCCTCTGTCACTTACTGTGTGACCTTATATGGGTTACTTACCCAGAATGTGTCTTAATTTTATCTCTAGTAAAACATGGGCAGCAGTAGTAACAATGGGTTTGTGAAGATTAAATGAGTTACTACATATAAAAGAACTTTAAAAGCAGTAACACATAATCATTTTTCAGTTGGTATAGCTGTTAATCTCATTCTAATGCCTTCCTCCACATACTTTCTGGACTATGCTGAGTGTTTTTATAAATTAAAAATGTTGAGGGCTGAGGTTGTGGCTCAGTGGTAGAGTACTTGCCTCGCACATGTCAGATACTGGGTTTGATCCTCAGCACCACATAAAAATAAATAAATAAATAAAGTTATTGTGTCCATCTACAACTAAAAATATATTTTAAAAAATCTTGAGAGCCTGAAAAAAAGCTGTTGGGTGCAAATATTAAAAGGATTTCCATGAAATTTTAATTATTGCATTGCAGCTATAAGTTATGAATTAGGCAAAAATGAAGATTATGGTATACCTATTGCCCAGACCAAAGTGCAATTTTCCTTCCTAACCTTGTTACTTGTAAGTAGTAAGTGCCTGCTTTGATCAAACAGTGCTCTCAACCTATCACTGGATTGTAGATTGTTCAGTTACTCTGATTATTACTTTGTGAACATGAAGTACTGGTCTATCTGCATGTGATGCTCTTTTTAGTGAACCACTTAATTTTTATGGTAGTACTACATAGCATAGTATACATATCACCTTTGTGGATTTAGTGACTCAGGCATTTCCAAACACTTTGATGTGAAATAATACATAATTGGATATTTTCATATTAAGAGAAATTGTGAAAGTAAACCATGAATTTTCTGTGAAAGGAACAGGTGTAATTTGTTTCTTCTGCAGCTTTAAAAGGTACATCTGCTACATGTCACTGTACAAGAGTGCTTGGGCAGTGCTGCTGGTCAGCCTTTGCCAGAATCTTCATTCTCATTCATGTTTTCCTTTGTGTTGACTGCCCTATTGTATTTTCAAGAGTTTCTTCACTCATCAGAGTGCAGCAAGAAAGCCTGATCTATTATCCAACATATTATGATATCCCTGCTGTTTTTCCCAATGTTTGTAATGTAACTCCCACAGATGGTCTGTAAAGACAGAAACCATTTCCTGCTTTTGCCCTCTTTGCCTCAGTCAAGTTAGTGACTATTAAAAGCCACATTGGTAGCCGTTAGTTGCTGGGAACTCCCTGCAAGGATCTTTAGGGAAGGTCCCTTCCCCGTGGTTCCTGGTTGCCTTGGAAACATGACTACTGGCTGTGGGGAGAGCTTGTTTTTGTGAAGTGGCCACTTCTTTCTCATGACATTTTTTTTTAGTTCAACAGCACCTGCAGAATTGCAGATTACTGTATGCACCTGGGAAATGTAATAGATAAAAGTTGCATTATTTCACATTCTGACTTTTACTGGAAATAGCCCCTTCCACTTTTTATTATTATTATTCTTGAAACAGGCTCTTGCTAAGTTGCTGAGGCTGGCCTTGAACTTGAGATTCTCCTGCCTCAGCCTCCTGAGTTGCTAGGATTATCAGGTGTGCACATGTGCACGCAGCTAGAATGTGTTTTGTTTGTTTGCTTGCTTGGTTTTTGTTGTGGTTTTTTTTTTTTTTTTTTCTTTTCTTCCTGTATGTTTGGTACTAGAGATTGAACCCAAGGGCGCTTAACCACATCCCCAGACTTTTTTAAAATTTCATTTAGAGACTAGAGACAGGATCTCACTAAGTTGCTTGGGCCTTACTTGGTTGCTGAGGCTAACTTTGAACTCATGATCCTCCTTCCTTAGCGTTCCAAGCTGCTGGAATTACAGTCATGCACCACCATGCCCGACTAGAATGTGCTATTTTTCTTGACAGATTTAAACTTTGATCTGTTCACTGCCATTTATAAAACATCATTATACAGTTCAAACATGTTATTTTACTTGATGGAAAACTAAGATTTAAGGATTAAATTTCAAGGAAGAAAACTCGATTAAAAGAAACATTTTAACAACTATAGTTAGAAAGCTTAGTAGCAGTTAAGATCATGACAGTATATATAGCTCTTGTTTCTTACTGAGTGAACTTTGGCTTGCTCCTACTAATGATTCCCAGATTCTACTGCACATTAGAATTAATTTGGGAGGGCTAGGGTGTAGTTCAGTGGTAGAACATTTGCCTCGCATATACAAGGCCCTGGGTTTGACCCCCAGAGTCACCAAAAATAAAATAAAATAGAATTACTTTGAGAGCTTTAAAAAGATCCTGGTGGTCAAGATCATGCCAATTAAATCAGAATGAAAGTTGGGCGCAGTGGTGCATGCTTGATAATCCCTGCCATTTGGTAGGTTAAGAGCACCAAGATTACAAATTCAAGGCCAGTCTGGGCAATTTACTAAGACCCTGTCTCAAAATAAGAATAAAGCCAAGTATGATGGTACATGCCTATAATCCCAGTGACTCCAGGGGCTGAGGCAGAGGATCACAAGTTCAAGGCCATCCTGGCAATTTAGCAAGACCCTTTCTCAAAATAAAAGATAAAAGGGCTGGGGATGTAGCTCAGCAGTGAAATCCTAGAGACAGGATTTCACTAAGATGCCCAGTACTACATAAATAAATAAATAAATAAATGATCAATTATAATGAGAATGGGAGCCAGGCATCAGTGTTTATTTTCAAATGGACATGTATTTGTAATTATTTATGGGGTTATTATAATCCATATATATAAAATGTATAATGATAAAATCAGGTAATTAGCATTTCTCTCTCCTCAAATGTTATCATTTCTTTGTTCTGGTACCCTTCAGACTTTTCTCCTCTACTTATTGTGAAATATCTAATTAATTGGACTTAGTTACCATACTGTGCTGTGGACATAAGAATTACTTCTCCCCTTCTGTGTTTTTGAACCCATTATCTACCCTCTCACTCTTCTCCTTTCCCCAACCTTTTCTATCCTCTCATGATCTCTACTATAGTTCTCATTCATTTGCCTTTCACAAATGAATGAGAATATGCAGTATTTTAATTTCAGTATCTTTTAAAGATCCATAGGTGATTATAAGTTACATCAAAGTTTAGGAACCATTATGTTACACCTTTCTGAGGCTCCTTATTGTTTACAAATGGAAGTAATAATAATAATACCTATCTCACATAGTTTTTTTTTAAATTAGTTGTTGATGGACCTTTTTTTTTTTTTTTTTACTTATATTGGGTGCTGAGAATCAAACCCAGTGCCTCACACATGCTACGTAAGTGCTCTACCACTGAGCCACAACCCCAGCGCCCCCTTTTTTTTATGTGGATAAAAATAGTTAATATGTATGTAAACATTTAACCCAGTTCTTAGCATATAATAAATAAATCATTAAATGTGAGGTAATTATTATTGATGATGTTATTGTTGTTGACAGCCAGAATTTTAGAAGCACTTTGACAGTTTACTGTAGTGTCTAGTTGTCAGGGAGTGATTACATGAAGATCAACCTTCAGCTTAGTCTGGGTGTTTACCAAAAAACTTTTAATCCATTGGGGTAGCTCTCTTTATTATAAAAGGATCAAATCCTGTGCCCACCTTTGGTGTTTCACTTCATCTTTAAACAAACAACCTACAGAGATTGATTAACCTGTTTTTTCCCCCATTTCTCAATAGGAAAATTTCTGGTAATGCTATGCTACAGTTGGTCCCCTTCTTGTATTGGACATTTCTGGCTGCCTTTGAAGGGACAGTGTTCTTCTTTGGGACTTACTTTCTTTTTCAGACTGCATCCCTAGAAGATAATGGAAAGGTAAAAAGAAATGTCATTACATCTTTAAGTAGTATAAGCATGGCTTTTCTTTTTTCCTTAGGCATTGGTTCTGTCTTTATACCTTGCTATAATCATTTTGGAAACTATTTTTCTCAAAATACAATATTTATTTTCACATGTCTTTAAAGTAATGGAAGTGTTACAATAAGAAATCACTTTTTGTGCTAACTAGAGAGCTTATGTACAAACCCTCTAGAAGCTTAACTTGGCTATGATTTTTGTTAGGTGAACAGAGTTCTTGGAACTTCAGACTTTGGACCTCTGCAATATCTATGGAGTGTTGCACCAAGCAGTGAAGAGAGAGAGTTCTTTTCTTTCCGTTCTTTCCTTCTAATTGGGAGCCTAGTGTTCTCCCAGAAAGGCTACACTGGTCCTGCCAGTGCCTTCTTCACAAATGACTGTATCAGTCAGCAGCTGCATTAGAATGATTTTGCCCTGGCTGTACTCTAGGAGAGAATTACTTGTGGGGGACAGAGGATGCCTTTTTCATGGCAGCTACAGAGGGGGAAACTGAGCATACTGCCTTGCATGCTGCTTTCACTATGTTCTTCTTTCCCATTTCTGGTATTCCTCTTTTATGGTGTTGTTTTTGTTGTTGTTGTTGGACACAATACCTCTATTTTATTTATTTATTTTTATGTGGTGCTGAGGATAAAACCCAGCTCCTTGCATGTGCTAGGCGAGAGCTCTACCACTGAACCACAACCCCAGCCCCTTTTGGTCATTCTTTATAATCATAATTGAAAGCAAAAGGTAAGGTTCAAAAATAATTTACAGACTATAATAACTGTGTCTGGAACCTACACAATTAACATCTATTACAAAAATGATGGACTCAGTGAATTTGTATCATACTTTGAAATTAGGCAAATCCTCTCTAGTTTAGACTAGCAGAAATCAATGTAGTATGAATCCATGAAAATTATTAATTCTAAAGTAATTGTTGGGGAAATGCAGTTCTGCTTTAGAGTAGATACATGTAGCCCTTGCCAAGGAAAGTGTCCTGCTAAATCTTAGTAAAGTTACATCAGCTTTCCAAGTAAACTTTGCCCGTCAATAAGAACAAATCAGTTTTGTGATTTCTCAGGTCCCTTCAGCTTTATGACTGATTCTGTGACTTTCACTTTTCTTTGGCACATAAATTATATATAGATGACTACTGCTTAAGAAGAATTTACTCCCACTGGACACAGTGGTACATGCCTATAATCCCAGTGGCTTGGGAGGCTAAGGCAGGAGGATCGAAACCAGCCTCAGCAACTTAGTGAGACCCTGTCTCGTTTTTAGAACAAATAATAATACAAAGGGCTAGGTATGTAGCTCAGTAGTAAGCACCCCTCGGTTCATCCCCAGTATTCTCCCCTCACCCCCACCAAAAAAAGAATTTGCTCCAAATTAGGCACATACTTTCCACTCTCCAGGCCTGTTGACACGATTCATTTGCCCAGAAAATTTTCTGGGCAGTGACATAAGAAGCATCAACTCAGCCTCTTTCTGATTCATTATCCATTTTGAGTTCACAAAGTCCAATGTAATAAGGTTTTACTGTATATGTTACCATCCTTCTAAGTGTTTGTTAAAATTATAATAATGGTAAGAACTGCTATCAGCAACTAAACATTAACATCCATGTATGATTTGATTGAATCCATTTTTTGCTTCTATTAACCTTAAGGTTTTGTTTTTATTTTTTTAAAAACCTTTTACATCTCATTTTCTGTTTTAATGTTATGCATTCAGATCTTGACAGCATTTGGTAAGCATATGTGCCATTCATTGCCATCGTTTGGATTTATACGTGGTATTTGCTTTTCTTTAATGTGCATATGCTGACAGCTCTAGTATTTATAGCCAAAAAATTACTAATTTAAAAAAATGTGAGTCCATTTGTCTGCAAATTATTGCTAATGTGAGAACTTTAGTGATATTATAAGAAAGGCCAATATCAAACTCTTTAGAGATATAAGTCATCTAAATGACTTGTTTTGATGGATATTACTGTTAATGGAATAGGTTCTCGTTCTCTCTCTCTCTCTCTCTCTCGTCTTTATCAAACCAGTGAGTTCCATGTTTCATGCTGCATGGAATAATGGAAATAAACCCTAACAGCCACAGTGTTATACCTGTTCATGAAAATTTAGGGCACAAGAAAATCCAGCATTGTGACTTGATCTTATTGATGAGTTGTTTTCTTAAACAAAATTCATATAAAAATCTGTGTCAGATACATGCAGGAATAAAGTTGACTTTTTAATTTTTTAAAACAGGCTTGTATATTTATGGTACATATAATTATTTAATGTTTTTCAGGTATACGGAAACTGGACTTTTGGGACTATTGTCTTTACAGTCTTAGTATTCACTGTAACTCTGAAGGTTAGATTTTTATTTATTCAAGTACATTGAGACCATTTTTGTAATAAGGTCTGGTCTAATTCTAATATCATTTTTGTCTCCTGATCTTTATTTTGTTGCTGCTTGTTATTCAGCCTTTTGAATGCTTACTAAAAAGTACATGATGCTGAGGATTTGGGCATTTCTATATATTTGTCATCCATTTTTCTAGTGTATTATCTATCCTCTATATTTTGTTTTATGTTGAAAATCTGTTTCTTAATTGCTGTTTTTAAGACATTATGATTAGTGGCATATAAACAGGCTGTGATTTTTCTGAGTGTATGTGTGTATATTTTTATATTAAGTATTTGAGACTTTTGTTTAAGAACCCCTGGCCTAAGAAGAAATTGAATATTTAAAACACTTAAATAGGTGTCCATGAGCATGGTATGTATAAAAAGGGTTTAGTAGTAAAGAAATTTTACAAAACGTATTCACCACTGAAATTTATCCATGTTAGTGATAAAAGTGCATAAGTACATATAGCAGATAGCAGATAAGATTACATATAAGAAGGTTAATTTTGGCAAAATCATTGGTATTTACATGCAACCATGAAGCTTATGAGTAGAAACTCTTTTATAGTTGAACACTTAATTAAATTATTTTGATCATTCTAATAATAAACACCTTTAGGGCCCAAGAACAAATACCTTAAAGTGAACATGTCCAGTGGTCAGAACCAACATCGAGAAGTATAATTGTCATAGGACCTCTCTAGTCATTTTGTCTAAATTTTTATCCTGGTTCATTTTTCATACCCAATATAACTAACATGTTTACATTGCTTATCACTTCTTTCAGATTGTTGACTTTAAAAGGAAATGTTAAAATTTATCTCAGTTTGGCTGCTTAATAGCTTTGTGTCGTTGGACAAGTAACTTCACTACTGTGCTTCAGTGTCCTCTTCTGTAAAATGGAGTCAAAAGTAGCAACTTCCTTTCTTAGGAGTCAACTAATAAATGCATTTAAAGCATTTAGAATGACATCTGGCACATTGAGTGTGCTCATTTTAACAAATATTGGTTGTTATTTGTTGTTATGCTTCACACGATCATGATTTTAAATCGACTCCCCCCCCCCCCCTTGAATATGGCCTCAGGGCTTCCCAGCACCCTTCATAGTTAAAGTCAACCTTACTGCAGCATCTTTCATGTGTAACTCAAAAGATATCCGTTTCCTCTTCCTTTGGATGAATACTATTGTGACATTTTCTCTAGCAGTGTGAAAGGGTAGGAATTCAAGATGAGACTGCCTTAACAATGTTATCAACATCCTGTGTACAAACGAGAAACTGTAACAGAGGGATGAGGGCCATGGTGTCACAGCAAGTAACAAAGTGGAAACACCACCTTCTCTACAAGAAATAAATGTTCTGGATATATGAACCAGAAGTTTTAAGCAAGCAGACCAGAACATACTTTGTTTTTAGATAATATTTGAAAACCTTAGATACTACAATCATTCCTCACAAAAACATGAAGAACTTAAAATCCAAAGCACCTGAACATTCTGTTTTTTTTTTTTTTTTTGAATTTTTTAATATTTATTTTTCAGTTCTCGGCGGACACAACATCTTTGTTTGTATGTGGTGCTGAGGATCAAACCCAGGCTGCACGCATAGAATAGATACACGTTTTACAATTGGAAAGGCATGCAATATAATCAGGCCCATGATCCATTGCTACATGATGTAAAATGCATACAGCTAGTTATCTTTACATTTAATGACAACTCTGTTATTTGAGCTTTCATGACTCCTTATATAATATGTCTCCCCTTCCTAGCAGCCCCTTCCCACTCCTGTTGCTTTATAGCATACCTGTCTCTACCAACTAGGCCTCCTTTTCTCATTAATTTCCCTTACCACTGCTACCTGAAGACTTGGGGCTCCAGCTCCCTGGATACTACCATTACTTTATTTCTCACCCATTGCAGAATTCTGAGGCATCTGCAGCCCCACACCTACTAGCTATATGACTTGACCCACACCTCTGTGCTCACAGTGTAGAATTGAGAGGTGTTAGTATAGTGTTCAACTGTTTCACCTTAGTTCTTTGAAAGACTTGCATTCTATTCTTTTAGTTTAACTTTCTCTTGAATCTCTAGCCAAAGCTAGATTTTGTCATAGCTATCATATTGTGTGCAGGATATCAGATATCATTGTTTATTGCCTAGTATAATTTGTACTCATCATAAAATCCCTTGTGCTCCATCTTTTCAGCTCGCCTTGGATACTCGATTCTGGACATGGATAAATCACTTTGTGATTTGGGGTTCTTTAGCCTTTTATGTATTTTTCTCATTCTTCTGGGGAGGAATTATTTGGTAAGCAGCTATACAACTGTGAGCAGTATATAAATAACTATATGTATATTATGTAAACATTATACTTTTATTAAAGTTTTGATTATATATGATAGCAAGTCTTTAATATTAATGGAATAGAGATTACTTACAGTTTGTAATGCTACTAATTTCAGGTAAAATTTCAAATACAAGTCTATGGAGTGCATAGTCACTCAAAAAGGACTTCCCTTTGGTAGCCCCTGTCCAAATCTTTAAAATGAAACTAATTTCTACCAAGACCTCCCATGTGATCTCCAGTAGAAATCCTCTGAATTTTCTGCCTGATAATTTGGCCTTATATACTGTTAATCCATCTGGACCCTATTTTCTCTTTAAAGTGTATAGTTGTCCCTCAGTATCTGTGGAGGTTTGGTTCTAGGATCTCCCTGTGTATACAAAAATCCTCAGATGCTCAAGTCCCTTATATATTTAAAATAGCACAGTATTTGCATATAACCTATTTATCTCTTCCTATATACTTTATATCATCTCTAGATGATTTATAGTACCTAATACTATGAAAATGCTATGTAAATAGTTGTTAGACTATATGGTTTAGGGAATAATGACAGGAAAAAGTCTGCATATGTTTAGTATAGACAAATATTATTTTTCAGGTATTTTTGATCCAAAGTTGTTTGAAGCCAGATTCAGAACCCATAGATATGAGTGCTGACTCTATACCTGTCATTCATGTCACAACGTATGTGCTCAAGGGTATAGGATGTATTCCACTTAATACTCAGTTTTATCTTAATCATCATCTCACTATTTTGGGATAGAGGTAGGCAGACTCTACAGCTTAGCCTCAGAATTCATTTAGTTCATCCTAATTCAGAAGGTGTTTATTCAGAATCCATTTTGTGCTTAGTACTCTATATGACAGAGATAAATAGAGTGTATCCTACCTCAGATGAGTCCAGTGATAGACCCATAACTTGTGATAAGGGGAGGGATAAGGAATGAAAATAAGTTGTGTTTATGTCTCCATTCCTTACTCCCCAAGGCCCATAATTTGTTTTTTAAATATCAAATTTGTTTCCATTAATCAATGGCTTCTTCTGATAAGGATGCCAGCAACAAGGAGCAAAGCAGGAGTAAGCCATGGGATGAGATTCCAAGATTACATATTTTGACGGCTTTGTGCAAAATCTTATATACATATAAAACATTTTTATCACAGAGATGTGAAGACTATGTTTATATTCCTTGAGGATTAATTAAACTCTGTTTTGAAAAGCTTTTCTTATAAAAGCATTAAGAAATGAAAATATGAACAACCTAATCACTTAAGAAAGTATATATATTTGGCACCTCTATAGGTAATGATTGAGAACATCAAAACTGAAGAAAGTCTATTTTCTTTAATATACAAATGAATCAAAGCTGATTAAGCAAAGGCAATATGCAATTGTAGATCTGCCTACAGTATCATAATTCTATGAATTGTATAATTAACATCTGAAAATTATGCAAAATTTCCACAAGATTAAAATGTTTCTAGCAACCTTAACAAGTTTCGAATCCTTTCCACAGACTATTCCTTATTGATTAAAGTAAATAATTTAAGTGATTAAGACATTGTCATACCTGTTTAATCATTAGTGATACTTAATAAAAATTAAATACAGTAGTTCTTCCTAATCCACAGGTTTACTTTTTTTTTCTTGGTACTAGGGATTGAACTCAGGGGCACTCAACCACTGAGTCACATCCCCAGCCTTATTCTGTATTTTATTTAGAGACAGGGTCTTACTGAGTTTCTTAGCACCTCTCTGTTACTGAGGTTGGCTCTGAACTCATGATCCTCCTGCCTCAGCCTCTCCAGCCACTAGGATTACGGGCATGCACCTTGGCGCCCAGCTACAGGTTTACTTTTTGAGGTTTCAGTTTTTCTATGGTCAACCACAGCTCAAAAATCATAAATGGAAAACTCTAAAAATAAACATCATAAGTTTTAAATTGAACACTGTTCAGAGTAGTATGATGAACTCTCATTCCACCCAGCTCCATTCTGCCAAATATATGAGTTTCCAGTGTATCCAGGCTGTATGTACCACCTGCCTGCCCATTATTCACTTATTCTATCAGCTCTCATGGTATCAAGTAACACTTATTTAATAATGACCCAAAACACAAGAATAATGATACTGGCACTTTTATTACAGTATATTGTTATGATTGTTTTATTTTATTATTGTTAATCTTTTACTGTGCCTACTTTATACATTAAACTTAATCATAGGCATTCATTCTAGGAAAAAATAATATGTAGAAAGAGAGAGTTTGGTAGTATCTATGGTTTCTGGCATGTACAGGGGGGTTTTAGGACTTCTTCCCCATGAATAAAGGAGGAGCAAATGTATATTTTGTTGCCTGCAATGCTGTCCTTTTACAGAGCTAGCCATATTATGCTACTGTATGAAATTATGCAAAACTTCAGCTGAATGTTAATTGCAGTTAATGTCCCTGGACATGTTTTACCCTGAAGCACTGAGATTCCCTCTTTGGGGTTATGCAGTGAGAATGATGATTTCTGAACCCCAAATCCAATCCTTCCTGCAAAGCCCCACAGATGACATCAAAGTAGAAAAAAAACTAGAGAGATTAATCAGAGTATCGGGGGTATGTTGCAAAGGAACACCCTATGGCTAGCTCTTACTTGTCTGTTGGACCTTTGGTATGGCTCAATTAATTACCTAAAATTTTAATTCAGGCCACTTTGTAGAATTAAGAGTAGGGTGGTGTTTTGCAACAGTCTTTTTTCTGTATGATAGAATTTTCCTAGAAAGCCTGTTTAGCCTCTTAGGCCTATTTAGGCTTCAGGAATTTCTCTACCTTACTAATCTACCAACTTTTATTCCACAATCTAGTCCTTATATATGTAGAGCCACAAGCTTGATTTCTATTGAGATGTATAAGGGAGCACAAGTGTAAGTTTTTAAATAAGAAACCAATTTACCTTCAGCACATACGGTATATAATCTGTGATCTAGTAAATGGGACCAACTGGTTATCTACCTAGAGCTCCTAATCCGAAGATAGTATATGATGTGCATTCTGATCTTAAGGAGCCTCTTCCTCCCCCTCAAATTAGAACAAAATTAAGTTAGCCTGTTGAGGTTCTCTATGGCTCAGCTCTAGACAGGAGAAGGGAGACCGGGCTTCTCAATGGCCACTTAACAGTTCAGTGAATGAATTGGAATGAAGTCTAACTTCAGAATGAGGGGTCCTCTGGATTTCTGGATTTCAAGGCTTACTGACCTATTAGTGGTATTTTACTGTCTAGAAACCTTTTGCCGAATGTACATTTGCAGATGATAATGACAGATTACTCTCATTTGTGAGAGACTGTAAGCTTTACAATCCTTTTTGAATTTACATAGGATTTTCAAGGGGAGTGGTATAAAAATGTCTTTTAAACTTCTAAATGAAGAGCACTAAATGAGGAACATAAATTCATTCTCATATTAATAAGACAGCTGAGGAAATAAAATGCCTGTTAGGATAAAAATTAACCATCATTTCTCTTGAATATTTTTGAAGCTCAAGCATTTTCTAATGCACATAAATATTCACCAGTTGGCAGCTTTATAGTTGATTGCCTGATTGTTTTCAAGTCAGATGAATTTTATTATTTTTCCCCTTTGATTCTCATTCCTTTTCTTTCCAAACATTTGGTAAATGAAATATGGTTACCACTTTGGGGACATTCTAGAGAAATTTCTTTTATTAATGTGTATAAGGAAGATTTCTTTTAAATACAAAAGACAGTTTCAATTAAACTTCTGTTTTCACTTGACAGGAACTCATTTGTTTTTCCATTATGTATTTTCTTTCCACTCCAGGCCTTTTCTCAAACAACAGAGAATGTATTTCGTATTTGCTCAAATGCTATCTTCTGTATCCACATGGCTGGCCATAATTCTTCTAATATTTATCAGCCTTTTCCCTGAGATTCTCCTGATAGTATTAAAGAATGTAAAAAGAAGAAGTGCCAGGGTAAGAACTGTTTAAAATTTAACCTAATTTTTGGAAGGGGCTTCAATATCTGCCATGAACTAAAAACTGTATTTAGAGAATTGCATTAGTTACAGCATGTTAAACCCCTCCTTGCAGGTTCATCACTTAATTTCCTCTTCTGCATAAAAAGTATAGTAAAAACTTCGTTATCCAATGCAGGTGGTAAGTAGATTCCTTAATAGTGTTCTATGTGACCTTTAGCAATCCATATGGAGTATCTCATATGCTCCATATGGAATTTAAAAAGGAAAACATGGTTTCATTTTTATTTATCCCAGAATTTTCCCACCAGGAATTTCCACACCAACATTTCAGCTTTAACTTTAGAAATTTCCCTGTGGGTTGTTTGCAGATTTTTTAAGTTGATAATCCCAATTTGCCTCTTTTAAACCTTTCCCCTTCCTTTAATTATAGTGCTGCTTAATCTCTGTGTTGCTTCTAGCCCTGTCTTCCCAGCAGTATACTTAAACCAAAGAAAATTCCCTGGATATGGTTTCTACATCCTTATCCTTCCAAACACACTTATAAAAATTCAAGATTGTTTTATGAGTGTGTTTTTATTTTTTTCCTATTAAATTGCAAATTTCCTGTTGGGAATGAGAAATTATTTTCTTCCGTCACATTATCTGATATCTTTTGAACATTTTTTAAAAAGCCTTTAAGGTGAAAAGGATAGATTAGCCTAGCAAATAAAACCTCTGGTAGATTTTTACCAAATATGTCATATTTCTGCCAATGCTAGCTTTGCTATAATAAAACCCTGTTTCTGTTATGTTGACATCACCTAGGTCTTATAGCTCCTCAACACAGTATTTTCAGGAAATATTCGAAGCTATAACTACCTAAGGTATTTGATCAAATTTGCCAACCAGGCCACGAAACTGATAGATCATGGAGCATTATTGTTGTTGTTGATAGAATCCAGTGGTTGACATTAGGTAGACATGAAGATCTAAAATTAATACAGTGGGAAAATCTTCATTGGTTAGAAGTACAAAAGAGGAACTTCATGTAACAAGTCAGTGTCAGCCCCAATTAAAAGGGAACTGTCAGTGGCATAATCTACACTGATTCTTCCTATTTAAGGCCAGTCTGTATAGTTAGGTGGTCAGAATTGCCCTGAACTCTCTGATTTTGTATGCCTTATAGGTTGAAACTGGACACAGTAATGTTAGTCTAGATAAGACTATGTTAGTTCACTCTTTAATCCTTCCAATAGCCCTCTAGCTAACTCCCTCCAGCCTGGCTTTTAGTTTTAGGATGGAAAAGTGGTTTTCTCATTATCTGATTATACCTTAATATCAATTGAACAGGTCAATACAACAGGTTCCTCCCAGACTGGTGTAAGTGGCAATTTGCATGAAGCCAAATAAAAAATGCAGTAATGGTTTAGTGCCTATTTGTATAATGAAGAATTTGTAAAGGAGGATCTCTGAGTTGCTCTTTCATTATCCTTATTTGATAATATACTTTTGGGGGTACTTCTAGAAGTTTTTCTTATTTGGGATAATGGAGCTATGTTAAATAATGGCTCACATCCAGCTTCATGTTCTAAAGATGGTACAAAATCTCTGAAATCAAAAATTTTTAGCATATCATCTTATCCTCTTACTTAGGTCTTCTTTTTTAAAAAAATAGACACTGGCTGGAGGTGATATCTATATAGGCCATTGGAGGGATGCTACTAAGAAATCACAGATAAAGACTTAGAGCATTTTCTTTCCATGCAAACAGCAGATTCCAAACTTCTGTTGAAAGTATGAAATTCTGGGACTGCAGCCCTTTTTATTTAGCAGCATACAATGTTGCCAAGGATTTAAGATCAAATTTACCATGGGTTATATCCATGATGGGAGGAATTCTAGTATCTGTGCTATAGCTTGGCATGCTAATGTGTTAGAAGAATCAGGAAATTTTCCATAATCATTTTCATTCATTCATTCATTCATTCACTCATTCATATGCTCACTGAATGAATCAACATTTGTTGAACCACCTACTGATGAACATCTCTCTTTATATCCTATGTCTGAAAGGCTAAATGGTTTTTCAGACTCTGTGGGATTTTGAGAGTTGCATAGAGGCAAAATAGTTGTGGGCACTCAGCAGTGCTGCCTCTTTTTTCATGAGAAAATGCAAGAGCATTGTATTGCCTATGAATGGATAAAGGCCAACTGAATCATAGCAGCCACAGAGATTCTGATAAGTCACATCTATTTGCATAATGCCCTGTTTGACCATATCAAAAAAGGAGAGGCCAACTTCTAAATAAAGGAAAATGGGTATCTTACTTTCCCTAAAATGTATTAGTCTTTATGCTTAGTGATCAAGAGTCTAACATTTTTGAGAGGCTTCCTACTTTGTTCAGTATTCCTTGCTAAGGCATTGGCTCCATTTTAAAGGGAGGCAAAAGATTCTCTTATACTGGGTCTTCTTCATATCCTGATAGGCTCTGTAATGGGATTTGTGTCCTAATCTAGAGTAGAAGGTAGCCCTGACTTCAATCATTAGGCATCCTGGGTACACATCCAGAAATGCTTATGGAAATTGGGATGCCAAAGCTATCCACATGTGGCTCTTGGCAGCTGCTTTAAAAACGGGACTTGGAAATGGATAGTGAAAATGTCTCTATGGCATTTGAGAAAGAGGCTAAGCCATTTATATTTAACAGTTATAGAATAAGCCTTATGTTGAATTCCATTCAATTCAGCATACATTGCCTGAGGGCCCACTGTGAGTTAGCTCCTGTAGTAGATGCTAGTAATTCTGGAATGAATCAAACAAGGCTCTCACTCTAGTCAAGTTATAAAGGACATTCTTATTGAACTCTTTTCAGGAAGCAGGTATAAAACAGAATAGGAGAATCAATTATATATATATATATAAAAAAGACTTTTTATAACAAAACTGAGTTATTCAAGTTTTGAAGCCTCCATAAAAAAATGGCAGCCTCCAACACTGCCAAGATCTGTCATGATGTTTGCATTATAAAGAATTATATCTTCGGGCTGGGGATGTGGCTCAAGTGGTAACGCACTTGCCTGGCATGCACGGGGCTATGGGTTAGATCCTTAGCACCACACAAAAATAAAAAATAAAGATGTTGTATCCACCGAAAACTGAAAAATAAATATTTTTTTAAAAAGAATTATATCTTCAAAAGTAGCTAACCCAAGGATTATAGTTCAGGACATAACCTTCAGCTGAAATTTCAGCAGTGAGGTTAATTTTTGTCCCAAAAATCCCATTTTTAAGAACCATAGAGCTTTTCTTTAGCATATAAAGTGACAAAGCTGCATAACCGTACTGCTACTGACAGTGTATGATGGAACTACCATTGAGCTTTGAACAGTGAAACAGCAAGATAACACTTCAAAGGTAGTTTAAAGTTAAGGATTTTTGGTATTTCACAAAGTTGTTCTATCTAAGTAACCATAGTCATGGCCTATCTGTAAATTATTGAAATACACCTGGACCTTCTAGCCAATATCACTTGATATTTCCACATGTCCTTATTTAATATGTTCTCATGTAAACCACTACAGCCAGAAGAAAGAGGATTGACTTTGCCTGACAAACATGGGAAGAATGGTCAAATGGGAATGGATCTAGGAACATAACCATGCCTAACATGGGACATCTGCACAAATAGGAAGAAATATTTCATTGTGTAGTGAGCTCTTTCTGAGTAGAACACAGGAAAAACAAGAATGTCAGCTTTCTGAACAAAATTCCCCAAGAAAGCACTTTGGAAATATTGGAGAATACAATTTATCATTTTAATAATAATGGTAATAATGAAATTGAATCCTAATGTTGTGGCTGTTAAGATGGGCCTTTATCCATTGGCCTCTTTGACATGCTGCTAATTGAGCTGGTGTGAAAGGTCTCTAGATGACTGCAAAGAAATGTGGAAATTTCATACTGTTTCAGCTCATTATCTCCTGTCGTCCTTATCGTACCCTACTACCAGTTGCTTTAGATACTCTTTTCATGCTTTCTACTGCTTCCTGTACTTTCATAGCTCCTTTTTCCCCTTATAAATTAACCTTAACACCTAATATGTTAAACTCCTAAAATTCTGCTTCACAGAATACTTTTTTAAATTGAGAAACAGGGAAAAGATGGTTTATTGCTTTGCTAGCAAAGGAGAAAAGCAGGGGACTTCTATCTCAAAGGCTGTGTTTTTCCAGAATACTTTTATCTTTCATGGTTGGATACAAGTTTTTAAGCACACCAAGTGTGCTTAAGTTTCGATCTTAAATAGACTTATACGTGTTAAACACATTGATGGGGGACTTGGTATCATGTTAGTTTTGCTGCAAGGTTTTTGCCCACAAAATAGAATATAAAAGAACTTAAATTTTTTTTTCTTGGAACCTAAAAATGTTTTTTTCTCTAGTTTTATCAGTTGGTGATTTGCATGTTACCAATGTATGACTACCTTTCTTTGTTTAAGGTAAAATATGAACAGGAAAAAGTGTAATTGTGTCAAAAAAGAGTAAATAGAAGCATTTGTCTTTAAAATTTTTCTTATTAGATTCTGTCTGATACATATTTTACTTGAGCTGGTATCTTTTCCTAAACCTATTTTCCTTAGTCACTAAGAAGATATTATGGATAATCTTGATCAGTACAGTTGTTCAACTTATCCTCATAGCTGACCACTCATCTTCTGTTTTGTTTGGGCAAAGCCAAAACCAAGTCTGTATGTTTCCTTATAATTTCAGAAACAAAATTAGAAGGAAAAAATAACCTATTAGATTTTTCTAGATAGTTTATTAATTTTGAACTTCTGGGTTTTGAAGGAAACATCTCACCTAGGTAAAATTTAACCTACCTTTCTAAAGAGATCTCTGTAAGGAAAAATGGGGAAACCAATAAAATTATGTTAAAACAAAGGAAGTTCAAGTCAGATGGGATGATGGTGCCACCAAATGTTTTCCCATTATGTTAGTTGTGGTGAGGTTTTTGACTTGCAGCTGTCCAAGGGCAGTCAGTCCATTCATAATATATCTGTGCAGTTGGATAGGGGTAAGAGTAACTTCAAGGTAGATTGATAATTGAGGATGGACCCTGGACATAGCTCTGTGACCAATGAACTTTGAACAAATGTAGGGTAGTGAATTATGATTAAAGATAAGCCTTATTTTAATGAGAAACATTTTAGAATATTTTATTTAAAATAATACCTTCCCATTAACAAAATAATTTAAAATTGGTACATAGATAAATAGTGGGTGGCACATATAATAGATTAATTTTAACTCTACTTTTACTTCAGGAAGTAACGTCTTCAAAACTAACATGTCATTTCTGCTTCCAATTCTCAAGGTTTCTTTTAAAATGTCTTACATCTAAGAGAATATTTACTTTTCTTTTCTTTTTTTTCCCTTGGTTTCTGCATTTCTCTCTTTTCTACTGCAATTTTCCACCTTTTGTGCAATTGTGAACAAGGTAACGAAACGCCTCCCTTCCTCAGGAACATCTACTATCTTCATGCTTTCTCAAACTTCCAGCAATCACAGTTTCTCTTGGAGTGAATAAGGTGATTTCCTTTCTTAATGTACCAACTTGCTTGCATTCTCATTTGCCTGACATCATTTTCTGATTCTTTATGAAAAATTACTTCTCATGACTCATTTTTATATCTTCTATTGATACTCAGTATTTTGTCATTTTTTTAGAATCATTTGTTCACCTTCCAAATTGTCTCACTAAAGAGGAAGTAATCTTCAAAAGCTTTGACTATAATCTACAGTTTCATTGATCCAGGGTATAAAGTAGTAACCATAGCATGTAGAAGCTAGTATTTTCACCAGAACAGGAGTTTTGCACAAATTTCTCTTTGACATACAGCACCAGCACAACTCTCAGAGGTGTTCACCAAAAGGATGGTAAGGTTTACTAATCAAACCATATTGACTCATCTTACCATATAACCTACCAGTACCATTTCAAAAACCCAAGTTTGCCACATACTACTAATTTCTATTTACTTCTTCCACAAGAAACAATATGAGTTGAAGACTTTCTTAGGCCTTTAAATGTATTCATTTGAATGTTACTCATTTGCTATGTAGTGTAATTAATCATTTGTACCTTTGGCCACAAGAGTGTAGTCTATAGGAAATGATTTTTTCTTTTACATTTTTATCACAAGGTAGGTTAACCAATCTTCAAATGCTTTAAGTATCTTTGCCTCACTATTACAGAGAAATCTGAGCTGTAGAAGGGCATCTGACTCATTATCCACCAGACCTTCAGTCAGACCTCTTCTTTTACGAACATTCTCAGACGAATCTAATATATTGTAACAGGTACCTAGTGTTAAACAAGTGGGCTGGCTTTAAAGAAACAGATTAACAGCATTATAAAGAAAAAATGAAAATATCACTCTCTAAATTGTCTCTGCTGTTGGTGTGGTGAACTTTATACTATTCTTTGCAAAAATATAAAGATGCATTACTTGGAATATAGGAAATATATATTTTAAATTTGCTAAACCCCCTAAGAAAATTTTAGACATATTTCAAAACTGAATTAGTGATACAATATATTTAATTTGTAAGTGGAAAGTTGTCATGGTTGTTCCATCATGTGAAAATGCTTATTGATAATCATTATGAAATATAATTCTGATTTATAAAGACAATTTTGAAAATTAAAAATAAATATTCCAAAATTGCATCTGTATAATATCAAGTCAGTTTAGCATTGCATGTTTTTCTCGGAATTTTGTAAAAATAATCAAATGTGTCTGTACCTTCATGTGCTGTGTCTGTGTGTTTGCAGGTATACACTTAATGTCTTTGTAACTGTCTGATCCCCAAATACATGTTAATGAACCAGTCTACTCTAATCATAACTTTTTTAATGTCAAGTTTTATTCAAGCTAAATGTTTCAACTCTCAGAGGTAAAATCTTTCCTAGCCATTCAGGGGGATGCGTGCCTAATGATATAAAATGCCTCACAGTTCATATTTCCAAAAATGTGTAAATTTATTTTATACCATATTATATCATTGACCCCAAAATATATATTTGGGGGGAATTGAAATACCATAGGATGAGCCCTTTAACTCAGAGTGATTTCTTTATGTTCACTCTACATTTGCTACTGCAGGGGTTTTGGCACCCACATCTTTAGAGGTCTTTTATCCATCTATGGGAATTTAGAGTAATTCATGAACGAGACTTACAATATCAGCTTGGAAACAACTCTGTACAGCTTACAGCAGGGCCATCTTTCACACACACAAAAAAAATTAATGATCATCATAAGATTCTGGGTCAGTTCACTTTGAGGCTAATGATTGAGTCTACTTCAGATGCCCATTTTTTTTTTTCATCAGCTATCAAATCTCCCTCCCTCTGGAAAAGAATGAAAATTAAACTAATGGATTGAATCCATTGGTTCTTTTACCTCCTGCAGTTCACCACAGTCTGCATCTGCAGTGTTATTTTGGAAGTGGACTCCTTTTGCTGTGTTCATCTTTTTACCCATTTTGTAATGACTCATGTGTATGTTTCCCCTCAGTGATGAATTGTTTCTCAGTAACCTTCAAAGTCTTTGACCCCTTTGTCCCAGATTACTTTGTCCTAAACTGTAAGATGCATTTTAGCTGTACTGTTTCCAGTTAATTTTGTATCCCCCTGGATTGCTTTCTTTAGTTTGGTCTATGGTTGGGGCACTAGGCTGAGTAGCAGACACTGCTACAGCTTTTGGCTTCTCCAGGGCCTTAACTCCTACAATGGCTAACATAGAACCAAGGAAAGTTTTTTTTTTTTTTTTTTTTTTTTTAATAATTGTTTTAATTTTAATGTAGTTATTTCTTCCAGGAATAGATTTTCATGTAACATTATTTCTCCTCCAAGGAGAATATTTGGCTGATAAAAAGCCACTGAGTTGGTTTGTAAGGGAACCAGCTGACTCCTTTGATATTCTCTCAATGCGAATGGCAACCTTATTTTAGTTAGAGTCACCATGACCCTGCAGAGCTGCCTGAATACCAAGTAGTGGTTCTGAAGTACATGGAACATAAATAGAAATGAAAGATATTCTATTCTAATGGATTTGTAATGTCCATGTCAAGAATGATATCCCAAAATGGAAAGAAATAGCATTTTCCTTAAGACCTTCACTACTCAGGTTGAAAAAGCTTGAGTTTGAGTGGAAAATCAAAGTTAGGCATATGACTTCTACTTCTCAATATACCTGAAATACATTCAGTGATCAGTTTGTCCATTATACTCCATTCTGATTATAGAAGTTTATGATGTATAAAGCACAGAAAAGAATCTACAGATTCCTTACAGAAATTTCTTTGGTTCATTTTCTAAAAAGATGATACATAAGAAAAGTAGAAGAGTCAATTGACTGATAGCCCATGATCTACCAAAATGGAAAATAACTTAAGTAGTTTGGGGGGGGGGCATGTTTCCGTCAGTAAAGGAAGAAATTTTTCTCAGAACTCTTCTAAAACTGAATATATCTTCAGAGTTCCTGTCAAAATTCACACATCCAAAAAAACTAACCCATTCATTCATTCATTCAACATTTCCTGAGCATCTACTATGTGCCAGACATTGTACTAGATACTAGAGATAAAAAGATAAATAAAATGTACCTGTTTTCAAGAAGCTTCCAGCCTACAGGAAGGGAAGGGATCAAAGTATGTTAAAACTCTGCTGTAGTATTATTAGGAGAAACCTGGAGCAATCCAAAAGCAAAAAGCAAGCCTGAATCTACTCAGCTGACAAATGAAGACAGGGTTAAAATCTGGTAATTGTGCCACTGTTTTTTTTTTTTCCCCCTGCATGTGAATAAAACTTGACAGTTTGTTGAGACAGTTGCTTTACTTGCATAACAAAATTTACTATGTGATTTATTTTTGAAAATGCTAAACAGATGGTTTTATATTATTATTAAAATACATCTTTTAACTGTATATTTTAAATTTTTCAGAATCCGAATCTTGAACTGCCTATGTTATTGTCCTACAAGCATATTGACAGTGATTACAGCTAAAAAAAAAAAAGAAAACATGAAGAAACCACCAAAAAAGTTATCATCTCAGGATACTCAATATGCAACAAAAACTAAACCACTCTCTTATGTCTTAGGGTTCAGAATAAATGTCCATTAAAATACTCTCCTAAGCATTTACAGTTATTATAATTAGCCATTATGGCCAAAGTTCTAAGTTAAGAATTATATGAAGTTGAAAGCAAGAATATTTAAAATTCTGGCTTTAGTTAGAATAATCTTAACTACCAAATGGGTGCTCTTTTAACCCATTGACTTTGTGAATGGATTTAAATACAATAGTATAAAGTAGAAGTCATGCAATGGGAATGAATAGATTTTACTAAAATACAGTATTACATTTTTTGCTTGGCAGAAGACATAGAGTGTTTGGACCACATTTCTCATTCCTGCTGAATGATCATCTTAAATTATTTTTTTTCAAACAAAAGGAATACTTGAATACTGAAGGACTAGATGGTATCGATGCATCAGATGGGAGAGTTCATCTTTTCTGTTCACCCACATGCTAATTGTGTCTTAGTAGAATATCTTTGCCCAAAAATACCTTGAACACTTGTGTGGGAAGTGTTGACTCTGGTTGTTATTGTGAGACAGAAAAAAATGTTTGTTTTTGTTTTTCTGAATTAAGTACCACTAGTAAGGCTACTAGACTTGAAAATAAAGCATAAAACATTTCAGTCATTTAGTAGTCCCTCAAAATAGAGAATAAACAGATTTTTTTCCATTGTTTATTTTACTGGAAACTGAGGCAAAGTGGGTAAGATCATTTTTATACAAAAATAAAGCCATTCTAAACATTAGCCTTTTATCATTTTATGTAAAGAGACTAGAAAGAACAACTTATTTTAAACGGTTTTTATTTCAAAGAGGTTGCAGTCATGCATATAATGCAGCACCTTTTTTTTTAACTTGCCAATTTGGGGAAGAGGAGACATCCATCCCAAGCTGGTTCTGCCTGTAGAGGTATGACTCTGTGTCTCTCTCATAGCTAATTTGACCAGTGCAAGTGGTATAATTCTAAACTGTTAAATTGATCTTGGTTAGGGCCTCAACTTGCTGGACTTAGAAGACTTTAGGCTCCTAATGAGTTCACTTAAAACTAAATATGAAATGTCTTTATTCATTGGTAAAATCAGACACATTTTGGATGTAAATGGTCTCAGATTTGACTGCTAAATTAAAATGATCTTTTAAAATATTTTCATATCAATTTCTACCTTTTTCTTTCTGGCATGCCTGTACTATTATTAATGTGTAGATTGTACCTTGATTTGGAAAAGTACTGGATTCAATCTCTACCAATATCTTTATATAGTCCATATGGCACATATATTTTGTGTTAATGTTTAGGTGTAGTTTTCTTCCACATATATTTTGTGTTAATGTTTAGGTGTATTTTTTTTTAATTCTAGAAAGGACATAATTTTAATTATCAGAAACCATTTCATCATTACTTATCCCTTTTATTATTTAATTTGTTTTCCTCTGTCAATATTATTTTTGAGTATTTTGTTAGATGTCATTCACAACTGCCTAAGTGTGCTGTTTTCTGGTAGCCTGTATTTGAGGTAATGTGCTAAAGACAAAGTCTTTAAATTCTTTGCCTATCCCAAAGAGCTAAAATGTCTAACCCAGGAAAGCTTTTGATGTTTTGTTCTTGTTCTTGTTCTTGTTGTTGTTTTTATAGTTGTTGCTATGTTTTTCAGAAGAACTGTAGGGACTGAATACAAATAAGAGAGCCAAAGTAGGCTTGTATAATGCCAGAACCATTAAAGAGTTGGCATAATTAGAATATTCAGCATAGTAGAAATAAAATTGGTTGCATGTAAAATGTGTTGCTGCCAACAAGAAAGAGTAAAGGAGATTTAGAGTCATGTTTCAGCTACATGTTACACTGAGCACTACAGGTCAAATTTAGAATGGCAATGATATATAAGATCGTGGCCTAGACCCTTGAGAAGGACCTGGCTTTTTTTTGAAAGGTATTTTTATTAATGAGCTATAAAATGGCTAGTGTGAAGTTAACAGATGAAATAATTTGGAATAATCCATCTAGTATTCCTACAATCTGACCACCCTATTTTGTGACAGAAGGGGAGGAAATGTAATAACAGAACCACATATTTATAATTTGAATAATCTTGAGCTATTAAAATGTCCTGATCATTTTCACAACTGTTGTACACTGTTTGAGGTTGTTGCCTATTAAACTGAAACTATTCATTCCATATCTACCACATATACACCAGCAACAGTATAAATGTAAGCCTAAAATTTGCAAAATTCATAATCTAGTGATGAAATTTTTTTAGTAACAGGCAGCATATAAATGTTCAGATTTTATGCAAATGTTGACAAAAATCATTTTTCAGCTTGCAAAGTGGAACTGCAATATTACATTTTTCACATAAGCAATTTTTTACATCTATGTTGCTTTCTAAAACGAATGTGATGCCATCTTTTTATCAATGCAACTTGCCTTTTTCATTACAGAATTTTTCTTTGGTGTAATCAATAAACTTTGGTATGATATGATTGATATTTTAGTGTCTTTTTTGGAAAGGTCTCAGTTTGACATCAAAATAATATGGGAACAACTTGGTGATGGGAAATAAGTTTTCTCTTTTCACATAGTTCACAAGGCTGACCATTTCTACATAATTTCAATTGGCATTTTGTGGTAACAACTAATTTGGAGAGGGTAAGATATTCATGGGAGTTTTTAAAAAACCATTTCTTATTATTGCATAAATAAAAGTCCAGCCAGGGGGCTGGAAGAGTTCCTCAATGGTAGAGTATATGCTTAGCATGGGGGGAGGTCCTGGGTTTTATTCCTAGTACCAAAACTTTTTAAAAAATCCAGTCAGGAAATGGATTAAATAAAATTCCATGCATGGATGATTATGTCAGAATGAACCCAACAATTATATACAACTTTAATGCACTAATGAAAGGGGGAAATGTGCAATCTGATCAGGAAATAAATAGTGATAAGGGAATGACTCTACTGTGTGCGTAGCAGTGCTTGATGCTGCTGTTGCTATGGTCTGTCTCCAACCTATTGAAACTATTTGATTCTTAAATAGCCAGAAATAGACTTTATTTTTAAAAAGTATATATAGGGCTGGAGCTGTAGCTCAGTGGCAGAGCGCTTGCCTTGCATGTGTGAGGCACTGGGTTTGATTCTCGGCACCACATAAAAAATATACAAATGAAATAAAGGCATGCTGTCCACCTGCAACTACAAAATTGTTTTTTTTAAGTATGCATATATACTTTTCCCACTCTCCTTACATTGCTTAATCTGCACCCAAGGCCTCATGAATGTACCTTTTCTTGGAAAACCCTGCTGTCCTTGACTGCCAAGTTGTTACAGTGATACTGATTGCATTTTTATACTTCAGTCTCTGCATTTTGTTAGATTTTAATCCTGTTTGTCTTTGAGCTCTATTTACTACATCTTTTTCCTCCTCCTCCTTTCTTCTTTCTCTTTCTCCTCCACCTCTTCCCCCCCCCCCCCCCCCCCCCCCTCCTCCTCTCCCCCCCCCCCATTCAGAGGCAAAGCCTGAATTAAAGCTTCAGGTTGCCACTTAGACCCATTCCCCTATCCATACAAATGGTATCTTGAGGGGTAAGAATCAAATGAGGTAAAGGATCAAAATTGCTTTGTAAAATGTCATTTGCTACTCAGATGGAAGCATTGTTATTTTTTAATTAATTAATTTATTTTTATGTGGTGCTGAGTATTGAACCCAGAGCCCTGAGCATGCTAGGCAAGCACTCTACCCGTGAGCCTCAACCCCAGCCTTGCATTGTTATTTTTATGTTGAGGGATTTTGTTGTTGTTGCTTTGACTTTTTAATGAACAGTTGTCTTTTACCAAATGTTCACAGATGTGTTTTACATGCTTTCTAGCTTCTTGGAATCTGTTCAGGCTTCCTTCCCTCCCCCCTATCCAGCATTGTAGGCAACTCCCTCTCTGCCTCCCTGCTGTGTCTGCCCAGGATTGGCCAATACAATGGATGTTGTGAGGGTCTGAGTGGTTTGGCCCCTTCAACAAGAAGCATATGGAAAGGTTAAGGGCTGAGGTTATCACTATGGTTATTCAGTGAATGCATCTATGGGTGAAGTGCTAGAAGCATGCTAATGAGGGCTGGAGTTCTAGGAATAGTTGTCAGAAAAAAAGGGGGGTTTAATTATTTTGTAACTTTTTTAAAATTAATTGAATACATTTTGCCCGGCATCTGATGTGCAAAGGAAAGTGCTGAAGAAATGTTAGCTAAGATTATTATACTCACTGTGTGCCAGGAATTATTATACTCTCTGTGTTCCAACCACTATGTGTGTATGTTCATACCTTTTATAATTTCAACAGCCCTAGAAGATAGGTACTGACACCTTTCCATCTGAAAGGTAAAGAAATTGAGTCAAAAAAATAAAAATATAAAACAAGGTTACACAGACTGGTAGAACCAAATGTGGAACGTGGAACCCAGGTATTCTGAGTAGAATCTGTACACTTAACTGGGACACTATATTTCCATTATTATACCACCCCCTGATGGCATGAATAAACAAACCACCAGAATGTTACAAACCATGAGAAAACATCAGACAAACCCAAACTGAAGGGTGTTCTGCTCATTAACTGGTTTGCAATCTTCAAGTTCATCAATACCATGAAAGACCAAAACTGAGGAACTATCCCAGATAACAGAAACCAAAACAACAGTGACATGATGACAATAATGCACCATATGATCATCAACCAGATCTTGGACCATATTGAACATTGTTGGGATAATTAGCAAAATTTGACTATAATATGTAGATTCTTTAATGTTATATATGTAGCATTTCAATGTTAAGTTTATGATATTTGAAATTGAGCTGTGATTGTGTGTTATATTTGGGGGAATCTGGAAGCTAAATGAGAATTCTTTGTACTATCTTTACAACAACTCTGAAGTTATTTCATAATTACAAGTTAAAAATGTTTAAACAATGAAGCGTAAAAATGTGGAGCTGAGACCATGGCACATACCTATAATCCCAAAGACACTGGAGACTGAGGCAGGATGATAACAAGTTCAAGGCCAGCCCCAGTATCTTGGTGAGACCCTGTCTCAGAAACAAAAAAAAACCCTGCATGTATGAATATGTGACAAATCCCATCATCGTTTACAACTATAATGCACCAATAAAAATGTGGGATTTTTGTTTTAAAGGGACTAAGGATGTAGCTCAGTGGTAAAGTACCCCTGGGTTCAATCCCCAGTACACCCCAAAAAAATTAATGGAAAAGAACATACAATTAAGCTGAACACATAAGACTAAAATATAGTTTATTAGGTAACATCTGCATAGCACTTTACAGCTATGTTTTTATATCTCTTTAATGTAGAGATCACTGAACTCCAGATTCTTACAGGTAAAGAAACTGATGCTCATGAGGCTGGAGTAGTGGCTCAGTGATAGAGTGCTTGCCTGGCATGTATGAGGCCCTGAGTTTGATCCCCAGCACCTCATATAAATAAAACAAAAGATCCATTGACAACTAAAAATATTTTTTTAAATGATGCTCAGGTAAGTTAATTATCTTTTTAAATTTTTTTATTTTATTTATTTTAGTTGTTGATGGACCTTTATTTTTTTATTTATATGTGGTGCTAAGAATCGAACCCAGTGCCTCACACATTCAAGGCAAGCACTCTACCACTGAGCCACAACCCCAGCCCTAATTATCTTTTTTAAATTCTTTTCGACGTTGATGGACCTTTATTTTATTCATTTATTTATATGTGGTTCTGAAAATCAAACCCAGTGCCTCACACATGCTAGGCAAGCCCTCTACCACTGAGCCACAACCCCAGCCCAAGATAATTATCTTAACAGAACTTAGGTATGACCCATGTTGTTTCCTGTTCCTGCTTTGCCACACTTTGTCTAGGACTTCTAAAGCATTTCCTGCTGGATTCTGAAATAAATAAAATACTAACCTTACTGTGGTGATTTTCATTTGGGCTTACCATTCCTGCCCCAAATTAAACCATAGGCTGGATTCATGCTGTTGCCTTTAGGATTGAGATGAGTAGTTCCAATAGCCTAGTCTTGGGCCTTCCCTTCATTCATTTTTATTACTGGTACTCTACAGATGCAGATGCAAGTTTTAATATCCTATCCCTTCTTCCCACGCTTTGAGTAAGAACACAAATTTCTATAATCTTAATAAAGAGAATCAAATTAGCTACTTAACCCTGATATCTAAAGTATGTAGATAAAAAAGCAAGAACATTGACAGCACTCTTCTATCCCAAATGATTCAACTTATATCAAAAGTCTGGCCAAGGTGCTGGGGCGGTGGATCAGTCTGCTTGCCTAGCATGTGTGAGGCACTGGGTTCGATTCTCAGCACTGAATATAAATAAATAAAGGTCCATTGACAATGAAAAATATTTTTTAAAAGTCTGGCCAAGTTAGGCATGGTGGTGCACACCTGTAATCCCAGTGACTCAGAAGGCTGAGGCAGGAAGATCACAGGTTCAAAGCCAGCCTCAGCAACTTAGCAAGACCCTGTCTCAAAAAGGGTTGAGGTTGTACCTCAGTGGTTGAGCGCCCCTGGGCTAAATCCCCAGTACTAACCCCCCCCAAAAAAAAATAAAAGTGGCTGAGGTCATCGTTGCTCAGCATTTTCCAAACTGTTATGTGAAATGATAGTCCTGGGAAATGTTAGCTATTCCTTGAAAAATTAGGTTCTCTGGTTAGATGCATTTGAGAAGTTCTGTGTATGATAGTCTCCTGTTTGAGAAATTATAGTACATACTAGAACATTACATGACAAACCTCAAATTGAAGAATTGCACTTGACTTTGTTTAACCCAATGTGTTCCAGACATTGGGCCAAGGAACCCTTTTTTGCAATGACCATCTACTAACATCATTGGACACAAGTTTTCTATGATGCACTTTGAAAAGAAAAAACAGCTATAGCTAGGTTTCCTAACCTGGTAATGGTCTACATCACACCCCCTCCTCCCTGCTTTCATTTGAGTGGGTTCATTTTCATGATCTGAGGAAGATATTAATGAAAATCTTCTCAAGCCCAGAGCATCGGTCAGGTTGCAAAATGAAAAACAGACCATTCGTGTATTTTAAGTGGTGGAACTCAATACAAGTAATTGATTATAGAGGTGGTACAGCTGAAAAATTTACTGAGGACTCTGAAAAGCACCCTAGAGATTAGGAAAAGGGGGCTGGAACCACCGGAAAGCTGGGGGATAAAAGGAGGAGGTGGAGTTTCTGGGGTCTATGGCTTGGTCACTTGACAAGTGGGAATCATGGAATCCCTGTCTGAAGCAGATGAAGCCTGAGGCAAAAATATCCTGGCTTCTGCCTCCAAGCCTGCAGTCAGCACCTTCCATTGACAGAACCCAGCTGGAAACCAGCTAACTTAAGACCCTGGGAAACAGTACAGGGCAGAGCAGGGAAGCATGAGGAATGCATCTCAGAGTAAACAGGCCCAGGACTGACACAGTAAGG